GAACCAGCTTGCTGTGTTGCCATGGAAACTGCCTGGTCGGTGTGTGTGTGTATGGGGGGTGGACTGTGTGTGTGTGACAAAGACATTTCTCTTGTTCTGGGTGTAGCAGCTCTTGAAGCTATAATGGTGCATATTTACAGGACAGTAAATACTTGACCCTATATTGACAACACTCGACCTTATAGGATAATTCATAATTCATAAGTTATGAATTTGTCCCCATTAGCTTTAGCTGTGATGATACGGCAACCATAATTCTATTAGTCACATTTTTGTTTTGATACTTTGAACCTTTGCATCAATATTTATTTTTTAGTGTATGTATCTGTCATATCAATTGCTATAATTCAGTAAATGTGGATGAAGTACCTACTTATCACCTATAGATGGCAGTACCTATGACAGACTCATAAGGCGCCTCTTATATCTTCTATCAGAGAACTTGTAGAGAGGAGAATTACTATGTAATGTAATGTCTTCCAGGTTTCTCAAACGCTAGAGGGCGCTCCTGAGTGAGTCCAAAATGAAAGGGTTAAGATGGAGCATTTGAGCAAAATCCTAGTTTATAAATGCTTAAACATTTTTAAATGTAAAAGAATGCATAATTTCCTGAACACAGAACAGCATGAAACATTTAAACACTGCTGTTATATTTTTAAGAGCTTTTAAACTCCAGTTATAGAAGTTTAAGATGGTGCCTCATGTACATTCATGACGTCAGTGAGCGCGAACAGCCAATGAGCTGCTCTGCTCACCAACCAATCAGCACCTACTAGCAGTAATGCCCGCCTTCTGCTGCCCAAAACCCATTTATTGTAGAAAAAAGGAAACATATAGGTGAGATTTCTTTGCTTTTTTAGTGACATACGTACTTCTGCTTTCTAAAATTAAAGAAGCAGTCTGGGTAAGTGATTAGAAACTATTTTAACTTTTCATTTTTAGCCGTTGATCTCCTTTTACTCCCATTCATTGAGGACTCGCTCATGGGGGCCCTCTGCTGTTTTGCAGTCCTGTTTTTGACATAACGGGGGAAGTAGGAAGTGGCCAGGCTCCTCATAAAACCGGCTTTGATCTTCTATATCTGGCTTGGTGAAGATACAACCAGCTGTTTAAAAAAATCACTATTAAATATGCAGTTTGTCAGCTACACTCTCAGAAATAAAGGTAGTAAACGGTCACTGGGGAAGTACCTTTAGTCAGGGATCATCAATGGTCCATAATTTTATTTTATTGTTCTGTTTTAAAACATCAGGTTATAAAAAGGTACAAATACATACTTATGTAAGATAGACAATTGGACCTTAAAACCACTGTTGTAGCTTTGATGGAACATTTACATTGTTTGTACCTTAATGAACGAAAAATGTACCTGCACAGAAGCTTTATTTCTAACAGTGTAGCTGCAGCAAATAAACGTATTCAACCAAACCCACATATAACCTCTTTGTATGTTAACAAGCTCTCTTAGGTGAAAGCTCGTTTGTACTGTGTTGCTGTATTGAATACTGTAGTGCTCTTTGCTGCCCAAAACTATAATACTATAATACATGTTGGCGTCTGCCTTTACACAGAATGTCTGTTAGGAAGTGGCGACTCATTCTAGATTACAGCTTCATTAACCCTTTAATGTCCACTTTTACTATCAAAACATGGTACATTTCATTTGGCCTGTGTTCTCTGGATTTGCCTGGGCACCAATCATTCAAAGTATATGGCTAAAAAGGGAGTTTATATCACTTAATTTATATGAAATGTAGTCTTTTGGTCACAAGGGACTCCTGAAAATGCCATGTAATCTGAAACATTCAAATGGGTACTGTTAGATGTTTCATTTTGCTTCATATTCTGCATTACACTATGGAAAAGTAGTGTCGTGTGTGCATTGCATTTCACTTTTTTCCACTGTAGTGATTGCTTTTCAATCTGGCACAAATTCCTCTCCATACAAAACAGCCAAAGAGTACAAGTTATTCACTTTTCAGAGACAGGAAAACAGCCTCAAAAACCAAAATATAATATCAAATTTGTTAGTATTTAGTGAGTCCAAGTTCAGTTTGTCGAATTTTCTGCTTCTCACGATCCAAAGAATCCAACTTAAAAATCTAGATTCAGTCCATAAAACCTTACTGCACATCTCAGAGGTCCAGTGCAGATGTCCGTCCTTCATCTCCTCAGAAATATCTCCCTGAAAAATTAATAACTGAGTAGATTTGACTGGAAATGTAAGGGTGATTTTGCACAGTATTGTATATTGAAAACATTACTGAGCACTCAATGCGTTAAAACCTGGCCTTCGTGATTGGTCAGGATGTTCATAGCTGACAATAAAACATTCAGTGATTGGTTAGATGTTCATTAGCATATTCCAGGCTTCTGTGATATCAATATTGTGAAGGCTGATACATCGTGCAGCCCTATTAATGCATGGAAATACACAAAAATGTCAGTTTTTCAAGTTTGGCTCCTAAAAGGCCAAAGTGATTCAGCCTGAATGGTGTTTTGAGTGCTGGAGGCAGTTAAGGACGTCAGGGAGGATCTTGCTGATAAGCCGTGTGAGGATGTGGGTGTGTTCGTGTGCTTTATTTTCCCTCCTCTTTATCTCCTGGTGACACCCACTCGCGCAGTGAAGGAACGGTTCATTTATTCAGTTTGGAAGAAAGTGACGCAGCTAACAGACTTTCCCTTGAACTCAATCAGCTTTGTGAGTAACATTTACCAGGCTTTTCTTCTACAGACGCGGGTCTTACAGGGGGTGGTTTGTGCATGATGTGCAGCTGTTGAGCTTCTTATGTTTGCATGAATGTAGTTCAGTCTGTCAGTGGGCTGCGAGGGGCTTACGGGAGGGTAAAATGAGAGCAGAAGGCCACTACTGTGAGTAGTACCAACATGTAAGCATCGCTTCAAGGCTATTTCACGGAAAAAGTCACAATGTATGTGTGAAAACTGTGCAAAGGGCAAGAACAGCTTTTAAAAGTGGATCTGTTTTGTAATTCTGTATTGCAAAACTGTTCTGTACTGTAAAAATCTTGGGGTCATTTGAACGGGCTGGTTTTCTGGACACGGCTTGAGTTGAAAGCCTGGAACTCACACATGGAGAACCAATCATGTGTGTGATGTGCAGTGACCCCCATTTCCACCAGTGTGGCCATCATTGGACACACAGTGGTTGCATCACCCCTTGACTCTCTTTATTTGGAGTTGCCCTGGTGGTCTCCCTGCTGCCTAATATCACTCTGTAAAATAAGGTCTTAAATAAAATAAGGTGTTAAATATGCTGATGATGACATCAGCGCAAACCAGATCGGCAGGCGGGACCACAGCGGTCACCACAGTGTACTTTATTAACGTTTTTACGTTTTACGTAAATACTCAACATCTGACCGTGTTTAGCACTAAAGCATGCTTGTTAATTTTAAATAAAATTTATCAATTTAACAACGCTATTTGGTCCACATTAAGTTTAGTAGTGTTTGTTAGCCATGTCTGCATTTTTAGGTGCACTGTTTTCTTTGGTTATGTCTTAAATACAGATTTGACACTTAATATATAAAATCATGTCAAAAAATATATTATCTAAAAGAAAAAATGTGACTAATAAGATACTAAGTGACCCCCACAAACCAGCAGAAGCTAATTAGTACTCTAGCTTTAGCTTTAGCATTCAACAAAATAGACTTTAATTAGTAAATGCTAAGTGTTCCCCAGTAGCTTTAGCGTTCAACAAAATAGAGGTTAGTAAATGCTAAGTGGTCCTTGATAGCTTTAGCATTGAACAGCGTAGTACTACTTAGCTAGTACCCTAGCTTCAGCTTTAGCATTCAACCAAATAGATGTCAGTAAATGCTAAGTGGTCCCCAATAGCTTTAGCATTTAACAGTGAAAAGGCTATTAAGTACTCTAAGCTTTAGCTTTAGCACTTAATGAAATAGATGTCAGTTAGTAAATGCTAAGTGGTCCCTGGTAGCTTTAGCATTTAACAATGTAGAGGCTACTTAGCTAGTACTCTAACTTTAGCTTTAGCATTCACCAAAATAGATGTCAGTAAATGTTAAAGGGTCACTGGTAGCTTTAGCATTCAGCAGTGTTGAGGCTAGTCAGTACTCCAGCTTTAGTGTTCAAAAAATAGATGTAAAGTAAACGCTAAGAGATCCTCAGTAGCTAGTTAAAGCATTCAACCATGTTAGCTAGTACTCTAACTTTAGCTTAGCACTTCACAAAATAGACGTTAGTAAATGCTAAGTGGTCCCCAGTAGCTTTAGCATTCAACACTGTAGAGGCTAATTAGTACACTTAGCATTTAACAAAATAGACATCAGTCACAGCTTCATTATACTAACTGGTCCCCAGCCTTACTATTCAACAGGTTATATATATTATATAAATGTAATTGTACAAGTTGGTTCCGGCCACGCAAGCTGATTGGTTGAGAAGCGTTCTAACCGTGCTGTTATTTCGCCATAACATCACAGGTTTTTCACAAACACTGTATCAAGATCACATTTGACCGACAGCCGATTTGGTCAGACTCTGAAGATGAGACGACACTAAATTCCCAAACTGTCAGTTGGTCTGTGTGGAGCTGGAGAACGAACTGCCGGCTGTGCAGCGAGTGGGCGGAGCTCGTTACTCTGACGTAGCAACAAGCTGTTTGTTAAGGAACTATAATTTGGTGAAGGAACTGCGAACATTAAAACATATTAAACGCCGCGTTCACGACCCAGTTTATTAATTTATTACTTTATTTATTAACTGTTGTATAAAAGCAATAGAACACTCAAGGTCGTGTGTTATCGCTATAACATCACGGCTGTGATGATCTACAGCGACCAAATCACAGCTGTGATGTTATTTCGCCATAACACACTCTCTCTTGTGTTCTATTGCTTAATTATTAAATACTAAACAGTTCCTAATAGCTTCAGTATCCACTGTTAGCCACGTTATTCATTATTCACCTAATTTCTTTCTTCTCCTATATATTCTCTCTTTCGTGTTTGCAGGTAAGGCAGAGGACAGCGGTGTGGTAGAGATGGAGCTCCCCGTGCCTGTGAACATCAGGATCAGTAACATCACCTGTGACTCCTTCAAGATCTGCTGGGACATGGACCCTCGCACCAAAGAGAAAATCACTCACTACTTCATCGACCTCAACAAGAAAGAGAACAAAAACTCCAACAAATTCAAACACAAGGTAGAGCATACTGAGATACTGTGATGCTGCTGAAAATCTGCAGCTGTGCAGCCGGGAAACGCATGTTACATCTTTCTCTCTCTGTATCCAGGATGTTCCCACTAAGCTTGTTGCCAAGGCGGTGCCGTTGCCGATGACAGTGCGAGGCCATTGGTTCCTGAGCCCAAGAACAGAGTACACAGTTGCCGTGCAAACCGCATCCAAGCAGAGCGATGGAGACTACGCCGTCTCAGAGTGGAGCGATATTGTAGAGTTTTGCACTGCAGGTAATGCACACTTACCTCACCATAATCATAATTTAATAACACCATCTCTGTGGGTTTATCTTAATTAAATGCTGAATAGAAATGTAATTCCATTCCTGAAGATACAGTCTGATAAAGGAATTCATTGTGATTTTTATTAACAACTTTTTAGCTTCTGGCTCTGCAGAATGATTCCAGTTGAAATGAAGTTATTCATTTCTCACTGTCAGAAAAAAGTAGAAAGCATACAGAAAATTACACAGAAACCTCAAAAACAAAATATTACAGTTTTTACTATTTAGTGTTACTCTTTATTACAGCTTCCATTCTCTTCAGGAGACTTTCTTTCAGTTTTTTAAAGGGATATTCTTCCGCTCTAACATTCAGTTTTAGAAGTTACTTTTCTGCCTTTCACGATCCTTGGAGCCTGATGCAGCTTGATTTTCTCCTCCCTCACAAAAACGAAAAGCTTTAAGTGCTGTTTGTCTGATGGGGACAGTTTTGGTGTCTACCAGGTCTTCCACGTGGTTGTTAGGAGTCAGAACGCCAGTTTTCGAAACGTTTTTTCACTTTTTTTTCCTTGACTTTATCCTTCCTTATGCAAGTGGATTATCTTATACCTAATTTCCTTAAACATATCTTCTGAAAAATGAATAACTTAATGGCCACTTTGACTGGAAATTAAATAACTGAAAAGTGGTCTCTGACTTTTGCACAGTACTGCAGGTGTCTCTAAACGTAGATTAGACCACAAACACTTAAAAAGAGTCAGTTTTAAGTTTCAAAAATAAAATGTGAAAATTTATATTCTTATGAAAATTGTGCCTACATATTGGTGCTGTTGGAACAAAACCTTGCATCTCCAAAAAGGTAAATGTCAAAAAGGATATTCAGTTAAAAGGTTAGAAGTTCCATTCTTAACTTTTAATGCATTTTAAATAAATGGATAAAAAAATTCCAAGTAATTTCTGTTGGTCTGTTCATCACAAAATTTTGAGGCATCCTAAAGGACAACTGGCCTTTTCAAATTATGTCAAAAAATGAAAACCAACAAAAATGCAGATACAAGGATCTGTCCCGACAGCAACGATTTATTTTCCTAGGATGTTTTTTTTTGTATGACTACTTTTAATACAGATTAAAGCCACATTTCACTTGCATACATTGTGAGCAAGCTGTCTGTCCTGCTCTGCAGATTACTCGACTGTGCACTTGACTCAGCTGCTTCAGAAGGCTGAGGTCATCGCTGGCAGAATGCTCCCCTTCACAGTTTTCTACCGCAATCAGAACCAAGAGTACTTCGACTACTGCAGGTAAAGGAATCAGTCACGAGTTGTGAAATATAAGTACAGCAAAGAACAACAAAAGGACATTGATGTGGTGCATGTAATTTACACCTAAGAGTAAAAAAACCCAGCTGACAGTTAACATTCAGTAACGTCTTTCTCTCTCAGAAACGTGCAGGGTGGCCGAATGCTCCCTTCGGTGAAGGACAACAGCGGCAGCCATGGCTCTCCCCTGAGCGGTAAGTTGGAGGGCATCTTTTTCAGCTGCAACACTGAGTTCAACACCGGCCAGCCGCCGCAGGACTCGCCGTACGGCCGCTACCGCTTCCAGATCGCGGCCGAGGAGCTCTTCGCCCCAGACACGCGCGTCTACTTCGGCGACTTCTACTGCATGTACACGGCCTACCACTACGTCATCCTGGTGCTGGCGCCGCGAGGCTCGCCGGGAGACGTCTACTGCAGCGAGAGGCTGCCTGAGCTCGACGTCACCGACAACCGCTTCCTGACGCGCGTGTGCGGCCACGACGGACGCGTGGAGTTCCGTCATGCGCAGGACGTCATCCTGGAGCTCATCTACACAGAACCCGTGGAGCTGGCTCGGGGCAGCGTGGCTCAGATCAGCGGACATCAGCTCATGAGCCTGTCCACCGTCAATGCAAAGAAGGATCCCAGCTGCAAGACCTGCAACATTAGCGTGGGACGCTAACGCTAGCACTCATGCACAAGCTCAAGGCTGGACTGTGTCCGACCCTCAGATCACACACCTCAAGAACTCGAACATTAGCATGGACTGAGATATCGTAACACAGATTCATCCCAAACAAACTAACCATCTGTGTCCAAACCCTGAGAGCTGCAACATGGGAAGCTGGCAGGCTCTCACATGCACACTCAAGCTGGACTTACTAAATGGGAATTTTAGTATAATTCAGCCACTGAGATGAAAACAAAGTCATTCAGAGTGTTTGACGTGAAATGATTCGTTGTAGAGAAACTCACCGATTTAAACCTTTACAGTGGTGATAAGAAATAGAAATAATAGCCGCTTTACTTACTATATAAAATGACCAGTGAACCTACACGTGTCTTCTGAGTAAAGCTGATAATAGTACAATAGTGCTAATTCTTTTTCTTTGGAACTATTTTGCCCTGCATGTACCTCTCCGCCATGACTGGATATCAAAAACTAGTTTTTAAACCAAAACCTTCTCGCAAAACTCTTGTAATGTCAATGCCTCAGGTATTTGGCAATGTATTCACAGCCATTTCATGTAGTAACGTCTTATAGTATAGTTTTTAGAGGGCAAATGCTTTGAACCTCTAGTTCCAGTCACCACCACTGTGAACAGCTTTTACCCTGTAAATTTCTCTAGAACAAGGCATTTCACATCAAACCACCCTGCATGACTTTATTTACATCTTAACGATTGAATTATGCAGAAATTTTGGAAAATTGATGAAATTTAAAAATACTCTCACCTCAAAACATCTAACATGGACTAACCCACACATAAATTAATCTTAGACTTACTAGCCACAAACCCCAAGAGCTGTAATATTAGCATGGAATGCTAAGAACATTAGCCTGGGGCACTAACGTTTACTAGCAGTCAAGCTGGACTAAGAAATGACCCATCAGATGACACACCCCAAAAGCTACAACGTTAGCATGGGACACTAACGACATTAGCATGGGGAGCTAATACTTATCCATTATTAGAGTTTATTAGTGCAAGTTACACTAAAACGCACAATCACACTGTAAACCTACTAAACCTACAGGGTCCAACCTTTAACATACTATCAACGTGGATCTTGGGACTTGTGAATTTAGTGTGGGATGCTCATCCATGCTGACGCAATCTGGGAATATAAAAACACCCTAAAATTAACCTATAATTCAACTTTGATTTAAACCAGTTGTGTCCAACCCTCTAATAGCAGCATCCTGAGTATTTTTTCCTTTCTGAAACATACCATCAGCTTTAGCATAAGATGCTATCAAATGCTAAACCTGAATTTCACTAAAACTGTGCAATGATAATATACAGTACTGTCTAAAAGCCAGAGACCTTCATTTATTTAATTTCCATTCAAAATGGCCAAAAAGTACAAGTTACTCATGTTTACATTTTGATGCTGATATTTATGAGAAGATTAGATGGAAAATCTCAGCACTATGGGTCTGAAAGTAGCTGTCAAGAAGCCCTTACTAAGAAAAGCTGGATGTGTTTGGGAGTACCTGGATTGTGAGAAGCAGAAAATGCAACCAACTAACACTGAACTTTGGACGTGTGGAAAAACATCCCTGCAGATTTCTTTGAAAGACTGAAAGCGAGCCTCCTGAAAAGAATGAAAGCTGTTTAGTTTTGAAGTTTCGTGTACTTTGTCGGTAATTATATGTGTTGTACTTTTTTCAACGCTGAAAAAATGAACAACCTGTACTTAATAGCCATTTCGACGGGAAATTAAATAAACAAAAGTATAGTCTTTGGCTTTTGACAGTACTGTACCTACCCTAAGCATTGCACTTGCATTTAAAGGCCTATTAAATGTCAAGACATACTAACTGGCAAGGACTTAAGCTGACACTGTGGTCATGGTCCTAAAGATCACACACTTCAAGGACGGATTAATGTGGACCACTTATACGTAAACACACAAAACACACTTAGCATGACCATGCTGACCTTCCAGCCATCAGTTCCACCACAACCACAGCTACCCTCTCCTGCTAGCTGTTTCAGTTTGGAATGACGACCAGTGCTGAAGAACGTCCGAATGAACCGTAACGGGATAACTCCAGCCCGAACGTATGCGTGAGTAACTGAATGCAGGGCACCATGTACCATGCCTGGATGCTTTTGTCCCACATTGCTTGTCTTAATAGGCTGAATTATCGGAGGCCTAAACCAACATATTAACTAAAGCAAACTGGCCTGGCACCAAAATCCTTGTCTGCAAAGATGGAAATGAAATGGGAAGAAGAATTAAGAAAAAGGACAAAGAAAGAAAGAATGCGACTGCAAAGCCCGTGTGCGCTCATGGTGCTCCATCTGCCCCCGTCCTGACACAAGCCGCTGATATTCTTCAAAAAGAGTGAAGAAAGAACACCTATGAACTCACACAGCCTTACCTGTTCATCTTATCGCTTGAGGAAAACATCACCATGACACAACTGACGTTAGAAACGACTTAAACTAACAAACCCTACTTTGTGTCGTCTGCTCCAGCAGTTTCTATACTAAGGAAAGTTCTGAATTGAGAAAGTTTAGCAGGCTTTCCAAGCAAGGATTAAGCCCTGTTTAGAAATTAAATGAATTTTCAGTGACAGTTTACTCAAAACGAGGCTTAATCTTTGTTTGGAAAAAGTGCCTCTGAAGGTTCCACTTTTCCATGCAGCTTGTCAACGTTCCACCTTTTCCCTCACTGGCTTTATGCTCTTGCATAGAGACCTGTTTATTTTTACAATCTATTCGCAGTTCTCCTTTAACCAGTTGTCACTTTTTTGTTTGTTTTGCTTTGTTTTTTTAAGAGAATTGCTGTTTTACTTTGTACGAAAGTTATTTTCCTGGAGGGAACGGAACGCCGTGCACGTGTATTTGTGAGTGAGAGTGTGTGAGAGAGATTTTGTGCTGGATCGCCCAGCAGCTTTATTCTGCATGTTCATCGTGAAATTGACGTGGTCTCGTTTTTTCGACATTTCTGACCCTCAAAGCTGTGCTATTGTATGCCAAAGGTGTCTCGGTGAGAAACGTTTAACCGAACTGTGCTTAACACAAAGGAGATGACACGAGTCAGCCTCGTTACAGGGGTTATAGAAGTCCTAACACTGGGTGATTCAATGCAACACAGGCATGATTCGCTGGGGAAACCGTATCTGATCCTAAGCCAGTCTGGACGCAGACGTTTGTTGATAAGCTTAAACGGTGAGCGCTATTCACAGGTCCAGCAGCTCCAACAGCTTTTCTACTAAATGTCACAGCTGCACAAAATAGGGTTCAGTGTTTTCAAGCCTAAACTGTACAAATGATTTATTGTTATTATTATTATTAGTAGTAGTAAATGAATGATCAGCTTAGTCAATGTATATAATGGTTATCAACTGATATACGGTACTGTGCAAAAGTCAGTAACACTTTATTTGAGCCCTGTTATATAACACTGACATAACCATGCCATAAACATATCACGGTAGATGTATTGTGTGTCATAAGTTGTCATGACAAATGTTTTATTACAGTGTCACATTACCATTACTGGTCATCATAATTATAGATGATATGTTTTATGTCGCAACAGCTTATGTCACACTATAATTTTCGTTATGTTTACAGTAGTTAGCTGTCCTGACAATTACCGCTAATGGTTATATTACATGACAAAATCAGTCTTGATATGTTTATGGTATGGTTATGTCAATGTTATTTACACTCTTTAAAAGGATGGTTCTTCAAGGGTTCTGTGGTAAAGAAAATTGCTCTATATAGAACCATGAACACTGAAAGAACCCTTTGTGTCTTCAGATTGATGGAGAGTGCTGTATATGGTGAAAATGGTTCTGTATAGCACACAAAAGAGTTCTTCTATTGTTACAATATCAAGCTTGTAGCACATTCATGCACACTTTCCATCAATCTGAAGAACGCTTTCTGATGCAAAGAACCCTTTAATTCCCTTAACCCTTAACCCTTAACTCATGCAAAGGGTTTTGAGTGTTCATGGTTCTATATAGAGCCATTTTCTTTACTAAAGAACCCTTAAAGAACAATCTTTTTAACGGTAAGAGTAAACCGTAGCCCAAAAGTCTGAGAAAACAATATGTAAACCTATTTTTCTTGGCAGTACGTGTTTATTTATTGAAAAAACACTAACATTAACTAATATTTCATTAAATTAAAACAGGTGTTCTGCTGATGGAATTAAACAAATCTATGAGATAGCTGGAGTGCAGCAAGAAGTCAGGAACTGAACCGGAGTTCTTGTGTTATTCTAACCTACATATTGCTGTTGTTGGAACAAAACCTCGTATCTCCAAAACGGTAACTTTACAGGAGAAGGAAAAAACCTACTTTACCTTTAATGCAAGTCAGTGGAACCAGAATTTTTGGGCAGTTTCTTTGGGTCCATTCTTCATGAAATTTACATACAATGTAAAGAGCAACCGGCATTTTAAAATTATGTCAAAAACTGAAAAACTGCAAAAATCAGAGATACGAGGTTTTGTTCTGACAGCAGCGATATTCTTTACTTAGAACAACTCACTGTTAATTTCTACTTGTGAGTATTTTAATGGAATATAGTGGTGAAAATGCACAAGACTGAACAGTTTTCATGGCTACTTAAGACTTTTGCACACTACTGCTATTTTAATATCTGTTGGATCAAAATCAAAGGTATCCAATTCTCCCTGTACTCCAAACATATCAGCCAAGACATGTCTGGTGTCTGAAGTTTCTTTAGTCTGGCAGTGGAGTGTGCTAGGAGGCTATATTCTGGGTGACAACAGACTTCCATTACTTGTTAGCTACATTAGCCTCGTATCTCCAGTGTAAAACTAAAGCACTTCAGACACCAAACATGCCTTTTAACTGATTGACTGTGTTTGGGGGAAAAGATGGGAAATTGGTTTACTTGATTTTCCAGTGAAGTATTTCTTTAAGTCTACGACGCGTACAGCATTACCCACAAGTCATTAAGACAAAAAGAATGGCCACAGCACCTTGAACAGTTTTTCACTGATTTCCCTTTTAACAGCGACATCAGTATTAGTTTGAAACTAGGATTTGAATATTTATCCCATATGCAAGATCAGCAGGCCTAACAGCTGCACTAAAGCAAAACTGCTTAGTGTAATCCAACCTGCAATTTTTGTCTGAGAGCACTCATTTTTGTGGAATATCCTCCTTTTTGTGGCCAAAATAAGACTTTTTTATTACTGTCATTACAAATTTCAGTTATTTTAGGTACAAAAACTCACCACAGCATCTTCTTGCATAACATTTATTTTTCGGTGATAGAAAACAGAAAAATAAGACAGCTTATTAAGCAGGATTGCACAGAAAAAAGCTCATGACAGTAAAAACAACAATTAAATGTGCAGTTTGTCTTTAACAGCTACTGCTGCATTTCCGCAACACCAAGCTAACAGCAGGCAATCTGTAGCAGAACTGCACTCTATGCAGCACCGCCAGAACTCACCTTCATATCAAATTCGGATTTGGTTAGAGAGAGTGCAGTTTTAATACTCTCTCTACCAGTTGTGGTCACTGTGAAATGATAGCTTATGTACCTGAGACGTGCAAATATTTAAGCTTTGGTTACAAAAAAAATTACGAGAAATTTTGATACAAAGGTCCATTTTTTCATTTTGTTTTTCATCAATTAGATGGCATATTTATCACATAACAGATTTATTTCATAAATAATTTCAAATCCATATTTCAGCACTATGTATCAAAACATCAGCTGCTGCTGATTTTATCATTTTTCCAGGTAATAAATCAATATGCTCTGGTCTTTAGCGTGGCACAGGATTTCCACCGCAGGTGACTCAAACCTCTCTCACCTGGCTGTTTTCTGAGTGTGTGTCTTTCCCAGCATGCTTTTCAGCAACTTCAGCCTGGCTTTCAGAGTTTTGTAGCGGTCGTATTCTGCCGCCATGGGCACCCGGTCCTCTTTCTGTGCCCTCCTTTATTGAGTGAAAGGACGGAAGAAAAGAAGAGAGAAGGGTCTAAAACAGCACTCGTTCGCTCATCGTTATTGCCTTACTCCGATAGCTGTGTACAGTGACCATTCAGACTGAACCTTTAAACACGCTGTACATATGTATACAGAGAAGCCCCCCAGTCTGTTTAAATCTGTCTACCCCCCCCTCCTCTCTCTATGGGTGGGCTTCACACCGTCATATCCTTTGGCAGATGCTGTTCAGTGAATGTTTTTCTTTTCCTGTTTTGAGTTTCTTGACGTGTTCCTGAAACCAAACGTGACTGTTCAATAAAAGCTACGTCTGAATGAGAGCTGCCTCATCTCAGCGTTTCTGTTTCAGGGAGGTGTGTGGTTATTCAAATACCATTTCAGACTCATATTAGTATCTGTTTGCTTGGTTGGGTATTCAAACAAGGCTGTTCTCTTGTTGAACTGCAATGAACATTTTACAATACAATACAATACAATACATGCAATAACTAACCAACTTTTATGTCTTTTATTAAGACAATTTGGAGATCTAACTCTAGCTAAAAAACTAGGTGTTTCAGCTCTCAATCCTCAGGAACCCAAGCATTAGTTTTATTGATGATTTGTTTCCTTTTTAAACCTTTTTTGTGAAGCTTCTCATCAGAAAAAATATAATGCGTTTGATAAGATTTCATTTGATCAAATTTTAGTGAGTTTTTGTTTAGTAACACACAAAGGCCCAGTCATATTTCTTATTTTTTACCCCTACCCCTTGTTTTCGAGTGTCACCTTCCTCCTTGAAATTGAGTTGTAGTGGTTGAAATCTTCCTCTATGAAATGGGACCCTCTAATAAAGAACATTACTTCATTAACAGGCTACTAGTGCTGCTCTGCAGGCGACCCTGCCAGTCTGCAGTGACAGCAGAGGAGGGTAAAGTTCAGCAACCTCACTGCTGGGCTTTAGCTACATTTGGGGAATCATATGCTTTTAAAGAGGGACAATTTATTATCACTCCCCCCTAATTCTTCAGTGATATGAAACAGAAGTCAGCTATTCGCCAGCTCCTTGTTTGGATTTTCCCGTTACACTTTAAATGGAGCAGCAGTTACATTCTGGCACTTTAGGCGTCAGAACTGCTGGACTATTTAAGGTGGAATGGGACATTTAGCTAGCTACCGAGACATTAGCGTACTATTAGCGATTTGTTATGCTTGTAATGAAGAAAAGTACCATAATGCACCAAAACTACATTAAAGATAATATGATGGTTATCGTAATTTTTTGGGAGAAAATTCTCACATTTGTGGGTTTCTTTGGCAGCCATCTTGCTGTTTTCTATTTTTCTCATGACACTCCATTTGGAGAACGCATTTGAAAAACCTTTGTTTTGAGGGCCATGTAGTCCTAACACCTAACATTTTATTTAATCATTGTATCTCTAAACCTAATAGAAATAATAAGTAAAAAATAAACCACAGCTCAAATACTTGCTTGGAAAATTGCTTAATTTGCAATAAAACAGAGCAAAGATGTCAAGTTTTGTAATGCTGTGAAATTCTGAATATTGCTTTTTTTTTATAACCACAAGTGATGCTCTGATACAGTTCGTAGTGTGAACTGTTGGTCAGTGAAGTTTTGCTGACATTAAGTCAGATGTAGGCGTAAATGAGCGCTTTAATCAACTGTTTTGCAACAGCAGGTCTCTGAGGGTTGATGTTTGACAAAGCCACTGTTTTGGTACTAATTTTATAGTACAGACTCGCAGCTTTGGCCTCTCAGGCTCTGTGTTAGAGCTCCGATATGAGGTGATAACATTGGTGTTAATACCAGGTGCAATCCCTAAGTTTCCGACTGGCTCTGACTATACATCTACAAGGTGGACTGACAAGGTAGGAGTGTCTAATAGAGTGGACAGTGAGTGGACACAGTGTTTAAAAACTCCAGCAGCACTGCTGTGTCTGATCCACTCGTACCAGCACAACACACACTAACACACCACCACCACGTCAGTGTTATTGCCTGACCACTCCTGACCACTGAAGAACAGGGTAAAAGGGGGCTAACAAAGTATGCAGAGAAACAGATGGACTACAGTCTGTAATTGTAGAACTACAAAGTGCACCTATATAGTAAGTGGAGCTGATAAAATGGACAACGAGCGCAGAAACAAGGAGGTGGTCATAATGTCATGCCTGATCAGTGTAAATTGTGGCACTGTTGGAAAACATTAGTTCAAAACGCAGATATTCAAATGGCAAAACACTGCGCACCTGCCAGTCTTTAAGAGAACCGTCTCCTCGTACTCTTTCAGAATCTTCCTCATCCGTCTCTTCTCTTCCCTCGTTGCTCTCAGCTGTCTCAGGAGCTCTGCCCTGGAATCACAGACACAAACACAGATGTTAGGCCCGTATGTGCAAGTCTGTGTAAAGATGGTTGATACTGCAAAAATGTACCATGATACTGGAAAACACTTTCAAAATACACCATACGCATCAGGTGTTCATTGCACTGTGTTTGCGTGTGTGTACCTGTTGACTGCTTGTGTGTTATTTGTCGGAGCTGTTGGCTGCTTTTCCTCCTCCAGCCGGGAGATGAAAGCAGGATTACTGTCCTCTTGTGCTGGCATGGAAACCATGCTGCAAAGTGGCTGCTGAATACACATGTCTGAGTCTGCATCCTTTCCCTGCATCAGCACACACACATACATGGGCTGTAGTCAGTTATACACAGTCACTGCCTATAATAAAAAATGTATTTAAATGTATCTTTCAAAAAGCTTGATTTTCTCCTCTCTATCAAAGATGAAGGCTATAAGTGCTGTTTACCTGCTGGGAGCAGTTTTGGTGTCTACCAGCTCTTCCAGGTGGTTGTTAGGAGTCACATTTTCTCTGCATCTTTTAATCATTTTTGTGAACAAGCTTGGTTCATTTTTTGTGCATTTTGTGGTTCGTTTGATTTGTGAAGACAAAACAGCCCCAGTCCGCTTTTGCTTTACTTTATGGTGAAAACCTCAAGGCTCACCGTACACACACAGTCACAGTCCTCCAGCACTTCAGCAAGTAAAACCACCAAGCATCATTATAAGGTTCTACTCAGGATAAAGCCTGCTCATGATCTGCGACAAGACAGCAGCCCTGACATATTAAAGCGATAAGATGCGAGAGGCGGTTTGATTTTACTGTTAAAGGCTGGAGCTGGGCATGCAGTGCTGAGTTTTAAGCTGAAAGAGGTCTGAGTTCTAATGGAGTTGTGAACACAAAAAGAACTGAGGTCATTTGCAGGTGGTTCCCTTTCAGGTTCACTTTAACAGAACTCAGTTCGGTTCACTTAAAAAAGAACTATATGTGAAAACACCCTCTGTGACCCAGCAATTCTAAAGGGAACTCTTAAACACATTTGCTTAACAAGCAGAATCTATTTTGTGCTTCATAATATGCATGTATACACTGATCAGGCATGACATTATGACCACCTCCTTGTTTCTACGCTCATTGTCCATTTTATCAGCTCCACTTACTATATAGGTGCACTTTGTAGTTCTACAATTACAGACTGTAGTCCATCTGTTTCTCTGCATACTTTGTTAGCCCCCTTTTACCCTCTTCTTCAGTGGTCAGGACCCCCATGGACCCTCACAGAGCAGGTACTATTTGGGTGGTGGATCATTCTCAGCACTGCAGTAACACTAATGTGGTGGTGGTGTGTTAGTGTGTGTTGTGCTGGTACGAGTGGATCAGACACAGCAGTGTTGCTGGAGTTTTTAAACACTTCAGTGTCACCGCTAGACTAAGAATAGTCCACTACCCAAAAATATCCAGCCAACGGTGTCCTGTGACCACTGATGAAGGACTAGAGGATGACCAACACAAACTGTGCAGCAGCCAATGAGCTATCGTCTCTGACTTTACATCTACAAGGTGGACTGACAAGGTAGGAGTGTCTAATAGAGTGGACAGTGAGTGGACACTGTTTAAAAACTCCAGCAGCACTGCTGATCCACTCGTACCAGCACAACACACAATAACACACCACCACCACATTAGTGTTACTGCAGTGCTGAGAATGATCCACCGGCCAAATAGTACCTGCTCTGTGAGGGTCCATGGGGGTCCTGACCACTGAAGAACAGGGTAAAAGGGGGCTAATAAAGTATGCAGAGAAACAGATGGACTACAGTCTGTAATTGTAGAACTACAAAGTGCACCTATATAGTAAGTGGAGCTGATAAAATGGACAATGAGCGTAGAAACAAGGAGGTGGTTTTCATGTTACGGCTGATCGGTGTAGTACGTTCTCAGAACAGCAGTGACACTGACATGGTAGTGTTTGTGTTGCTGGTATGAGTGTATAAGACACAGTGTTGTTGTAGGAGGTTTTACATACGTTAGTGTCACTGCTAGGTGGACCACAAAAACATTTTCAACAGACCAAAATAGCAGCTCTGTGGACAGAAACTGCAAAGAACTATATGTGAAAACACCCTATCCCTAATTCTAAAGGGAACTCTTAAACACGTGCTTAACAAGCTGAATCTATTTTGTGCTTCATAATATGCATGTATATGATGCGAGAGTAAAAGAGAGTGGGGGGCTTACAGTGGTACTGGTGTGTTTGTTTAAAGTGTAGAATGCTTGCTTCACTGAACGATAGCGATCATACAGCTCTCTCATCACACTCCGCTCCTCTCTGGACCTCTGCAGAGAAAACACACACATTCAGAGAGCTTATCACACACTTGCATCATACAGCTCTTAAAGTACATTCAGACACTGGAAGACTTCAAGCTGCTTGTATGCTGTGCTTCTCGTTTGTATTTCAAATGTCTGATGTTGTATTTGTTTAACAAGCTCCCACCGGTCTGCCATGAAGACTCTCGTAGTAAAGCAGACTCTTCTGCAGTGTTATCTTCTCCAGAGCCAGCTGAGCCAGAGACATGTCCTACATTCACACACAACATAACAAAATGAGATGCTGGAGGATTATATATATTCGCATTAGCAGAAATTTCATCCTATGTTGTGCTTCTACTCACTGGCCACTTTATTGGAAACTCCTACCCTGTGCTTCCACTCACTAGCCACTTTATTAGAAACACGTACCTTGTGCTTCCACTTACTTTCATTCAGAGGCCACTTTATTAGAAACACCAACCTTGTACGTCCACTTTGTGGCCACTTAATTAACCACATATTCTTAGTATGTCCACTCACTGGCCACTTTATGAGCTCCACCTATCTTATACGTCCCAGGTATAGGGATACAGTTGAAGAGTTTCATTCAAAAATGTTGTCCAGCCATTTATAACAGTGGATTTAACACATTTTTAAAAAGACTAACAGTTAATAAAAAAAAGTATAAATAAATAATTTATCATAATACAGCTGTGAAATTTCATGTGTAATGCTCACTCCTAAAAATATATATCATAAAAAAATAGGAAATTCTTCAAAGTAGCCTATAACACATTGTGGAATGAAACCCTTCAGTTACAGACTGTAGTCTATCTATTGTGTCTACTTCATTCCTCACTGGTCACTTGCTGACGATGGGACTCCTGTTGTCCAGATATTATTGGGCTATAGTCCACTCTCAGCACAGCAGTGACTCTGACATGGTAGTGTTTGTGTTGCTGGTATGAGTGTATAAGACACAGTGTTGTTGTTGGAGGTTTTACATATGTTATTGTCACTGCTAGGTACACCACAAAAACATTTTCAACGCACCAAAATAGCAGCTCTGTGGTCAGAAACTGATCACTGATAATGGTCTAGAGGATGGCTAGCACAAACTGTGCTTCAACAGATGAGCTACAACTGTGCACCCATTTGTAGGAGCTAGAAGGGATGGGTTTCTAATAAAGTGGCCAGCACGTGTAATAGGATCAGTAACTATGTTATGTGCATGCATGCGTACCTGTACGCGATCTGGTAGGTTTAGCTCCATTCGTTTTTCTTTAAGATGTTGTGTTAGTGTTTTCACTGTGTCCTCCAGTGCAGGTTTAGCCTCAGGCACACTGACCGCCTGCAGGACAGCAGATGAACTGCATGACTTTTTCAGTCCATCTGCACACTGTCTTGATCTTAACTCTACAGAAGAAGACGAAGGAGAATGAGAAAAGGCTAATCCTAACACAACTTATTCAGTAGTTACTATGAAACTAACGGTGGAAGTGCTGTATCATGAGAGTGAGGAAATGTGTGGGTCTACATTTTAATCTGTTTATTCAAATCACCTCATCACTGTTCTACAAAATATGGCTTATAGGCTCTTCCAGCTGTTGTGTCCATGTACCTTTGAGCTGCTTGCGGGCTTTGCAGAGATCCATCTTGAGACTCGCCACTTTAAATTCAGCCGTCTTATCGCTGTGTCCAGCCTGCAGTGGAAACCATTACAGTCGCATTAATAATTACACACTTCAAATTACAGCACATTCAGAATACTTATGTGGGTATCAAAACATTAAGAATTTAGAGTGATCCCATTCTTGTATTCACACACAGCCACAAGAGGGCGACAGTGTAGCGGAATATTTCCTACTAGTTTTCTGAGTGTCTATTAGAATCCACAGCACTCACACTGTGCAAAAGTCAGAACACCCTTCATTTATTTAATTTACAGTCAAATCATATTTACCAGAACATTATACAGAAGCCTTAACAATTAAATATACTTTCAGCATTTGCAATGTTCAGTATATACACTTTCGCCCTGTTCTTCAATGGAGAGGACCACAGGACCACCACAGAGCAGGAATTATTTGGGTGGTGGGTCATTCTCAGCACTGAAGTGACACTGAAGTGGTGGTGGTGCGTTATTGTGTGTTGTGCTGGTGTGAGTGGATCAGACACAGCAGGGTTGCTGGAGTTTTTAAACACCTCAGTGTTGCTGCTGGACTGAGAACCAAAAATATCCAGCCAACAGCGTCCTGTGACCACTGATGAAGGACCAGAGGATGAGCAACAAAAACTGAGCTACAGTCTCTGACTTTACATCTACAAGGTGGACCAACAAGGTAGGAGTGTCTAATAAGAGTGGACAGTGATTGGACACAGTGTTTAAAAACTGATCCACTCGTACCAGTGCAACACACAATAACACACCACCACCATGTCAGTATCACTGCAGTGCTGAGAATGATCTACCACCCAAATAATACCTGCTAACTGGGGGTCCTGTGGGGGTCCTGACCACTGAAGAACAGGGTGAAAAAGGGCTAACAAAGAATAGTTGGACTACAGTCTGTAATTGTAGAACTACAAAGTGCTCCTGTATGGTCAGTGGAGCTGATAAAATGGACAATGAGTGTAGAAACAAGGACGTAGTTTTAATGAAGTGGCCAGTAGGTGTATAAAGAAAAAAAAATAAGAATAAAGAATAATAAACAGAAATAAGTCATAAGATGCACCCAGCCTCTTACAAACCCACCTTGTAGTTGTGGTTGTGCTGGAAGGAGTCATCGAAGCTCCTGATTGCTTGTTTGAGGCTGTGAATATGGCGCTGAAGCAGAGCGATAGACGTCTCACTTGAACTGTCTGCACTGTTTCCACTGCTTATACACTCAGACCTACACTCAACAACAGCCATGTTAGTCATGCTTTCAGTATCACAACATGAACTCAACAAAACTTAGATCCCAGCACTAAAACACATGACTTAAAAAAAGCAAAAAATAAGCCACACTTTTTTTCTGATCCCATATGGCTTGTCTACAATTTATTAACAAATTATCTGATCTACAGCACTGAAATTAGGCTTAGAATTAGGCAGTTGAGGACAAATAAAATTGAGGTGAATTTCACAAATATTTAGCTGAATGCAGGTTAAAGACAATGTGAGTCTACAAAGCATCTACAGCAGACCATCAGAATAAAGTGTTAGCAAAAATGAATGCTCCTACATGATGTGTGATTGGCTGGAGGAGGCAGAGTCTTGCTGGCTGCTTATGTGCTGATTCTGGCTCAGGATTAGACAGTGAGGAGAGGGTTGGGCACTCGCGGCTTTCAAAACTGGAGCTGCTGAGACAAACAGGAAGAAAGTGTCAACCAATTGAAAACTTTAACTCATTCCTTTATACCGGTTAAAATACAGAATGGCTGATTTTTTTTTTATTCACTCTATCTTGATGGCAAAAGTTGGTAAATGAAAAGTTCCTCTGACTGCTGCAGCTGGTTGCTGAGTCTCCCATCACTGTTCCATTGAAAAGCATGTTCACATTATCAGGCTGAAGTGGCACAAATCAGATTTTTTGCCCTAATGTGACACAGATCTGATGTTTTCAGAGCTGTGTGGACATATAAACATGATCTTTTCAAACTGACCTGAGCCACTTTCATATGTGGTCCAAGATTGGATATGTATCCAATTTGTTCAGATCGGAATTCATGTGTTTTTTCCACTGCGCCATCATTCAGCGTTACTATGGCAGCAGCGCCAAACAGAAGTTAAAGCTTGTTAACGGTGGAAAAGCAACACATCTCCCCCTTTTTTGCAGCTGAGAGCTGATCAGAGTTAATTATCTCCTCAGCGAAGGCTTGTTCTGCTCGTTAGTTTGTTGCTGATGATTCATGTGACGTTACTGAGTAGGATGTGCGCATGTGGGTCATTTCAGGACGCCGGTTCACATTAACAACAGATTTAAATCACTTACATAAACAAGTGTGAACAATCATGTCAAGAGAGATCGGATTTGAGCAAGAAAACGGATTTGAGCAATGAGGCTTGTAATGCGAACATAGCCTAACATCATAATGTGATGATAATGCGATCCAGCATACTTGAGATTAATTAACAACTTGACAAACCTGTAGAATTTAACAACCTCATACCTGTAGAATGAGGCAAGTGTGTGATGATATAGGTATGAAGTTTGCACACTGCTAACTGGTTGGGCTATGAGCTTCTATTACTTGTTAGCTACATTAGCCTCAGAGCTCCAATCCAAAACTAAAGAAGCAAACTTGTTATGACTGGGAAAATGAATAGTCACTTTAACATAAGAGCAGAGCAGAGCAGAGAAGAGAAGAGAAGAGGAAATTAAATGAGACAAGATAAGAGAACCTCAGATTGAGGAGGAACAATGCGGATTCCGTCCTGGCCGTGGAACAATGGACCAGCTTTTCACCCTCTCACGGATTGTTGAGGGAGCATGGGAGTTTGCCAACCCAGTCTACATGTGTTTTGTGGATTTGGCTTACGACCGTGTTCCCCGAGATATCTTGTGGGAGGTCCTCCGGGAGTATGGGGTGCCGGGGTTACTACTCCGGGCCATTCAATCTCTGTACGCCCGGAGTGAGAGCTGTGTTCGTATACTCGGCATTAAGTTGGACTCTTTCAGTGTTAGCGTTGGACTCTGCCAGGGTTGTGCCCTGTCTCCACTCCTGTTTGTGATATTCATGGACAGGGTGTCAAGGCGTAGCCGTGGTCAGGAGGGCATTATGTGTGGAGGCCGGAGGGTGGCGTCTCTGCTATTTGCAGATGATGTTGTTCTTTTGGCTGGATCACATGGATGCCTCCAGCGTGCACTGGAGCGGTTTGCAGAGTGTGAAGCGGTTGGTATGCGGATCAGCACCTCCAAGTCTGAGTCCATGGTCTTAGCCCGGAAAAGGATGGTATGCCCGCTCCAGGTAAGGGGAAAGGACTTGCCCCAGGTGGAGGAGTTTAAGTATCTCGGGGTCTTGTTCACGAGTGATGGGAAGAAGGATCGTGAGATCGACCGCAGGCTGGGACAAGCGGCAGCAGTAATGCGGTCACTGTACCGGACTGTAGTGGTGAAGAGTTTGTCTGTTTACCGATCGGTCTACATCCCGACCCTCACCTATGGTCATGAGCTGTGGGTAATGACCGAAAGAATGAGATCGCGAATACAAGCGGCAGAAATGAGCTTTCTTCGCAGGGTGGTGGGCTACACTCTATTTGATAGGGTGAGGAGCTCGGCCATCCGGGAAGAGCTCGGAGTAGAGCCGCTACTCCTCCGCATTGAGAGGAGCCAGCTGAGGTGGTTCGGGCATCTGATCCGGATGCCCCCTGGACGCCTCCCGGTGGGGGTGTACCAGGCACGGCCTACCGGAATAAGACCCCGGGGTCGTCCTAGGACCCGCTGGAGGGATAAATATCTCCAAGTTGGCCTGGGAGCGGCTTGGGGTCCCCGGGAATGAGCTGGAGGAAGTTGCGGGGGACAGGGTCATCTAGGATTCTCTGCTCTCCCAACTGCTACCGCGACCCTATCTGGACTAAGCGGTTAACGATGATGATGATGATGATGAAGATAAGAGAAGGCCAGAGGAAGAAGAGAAGATGAGGCAAGATGAGATGAGAGAAGGCCAGAGGAAAAAGATAAGAGAAAAGAACAGAAGACAAGACGAGATGAGAGAAGGCCAGAGATGATGAAGATGATGATGTTTTACCCCTGCTGTTGTGGCTGGACTGTTCACAGATGGACGCTGGTCTGGGTTCTTCCTCAGTGTGTGTGTAAGCAGTATTAGTGTGTGTGTGGCTGGACTTAGAGTGTGTGTGGTTGCTCTGCATGTGTGAGATGCTGCTCTCAGAAAGTGTGTGGTTGCTCTGTGTGTGTGAGATGCTGTTCTCAGAGAGTGTGTGGCTGGACTCAGAGTGTGTGTGGTTGCTCTGTGTGTGTGAGATGCTGCTCTCAGAGAGTGTGTGGCTGGACTCAGAGTGTGTGTGGTTGCTCTGTGTGTGTGAGATGCTGTTCTCAGAGAGTGTGTGGCTGGACTCAGGGTGTGTGTGGTTACTCTGTGGATGTGAGATGCTGTTCTCAGAGAGTGTGTGGCTGGACTCAGGGTGTGTGTGGTTACTCTGTGGATGTGAGATGCTGTTCTCAGAGAGTGTGTGGCTGGAATCAGAGTGTGTGTGGTTACTCTGTGGATGTGAGATGCTGCTCTCAGAGAGTGTGTGGCTGGACTCAGAGTGTGTGTGGTTACTCTGTGGATGTGAGATGCTGTTCTCAGAGAGTGTGTGGCTGGACTCAGAGTGTGTGTGGTTACTCTGTGGATGTGAGATGCTGCTCTCAGAGAGTGTGTGGCTGGCCTCAGAGAGTGTGTGGCTGGACTCAGAGTGTGTGTGGTTACTCTGTGGATGTAAGATGCTGCTCTCAGAGAGTGTGTGGCTGGACTCAGAGCTGTGAGAGTGTGTGTTCCTGGGTTTAAAGGGTGTGATGGTTGTAACGTGTGCGCTGTTTGGAGTGTGTGTGTGTCCGCTGTGCGTCTTTCTGCTCTTGGAGTGTGTTTTGTTGCGGGTCTCTGAGTGAGTGTTATTACTCTCAGTGTCTTTGTTGCTACCCGGGTGTGTATATAAGTGAACGTTGTTGTTGTTGTTGTTTGGGGACGGGGGCTCCACAGCGCGCTGCAGCAGAGATGGGCTCTGTAAAAAAAAGAACAGATGTAGAGATTAATTGTGTTTGAACAGTCACGCATTCACTGCAGTCACATTTAAAAGGTCCAATCTCCATTTCAATTTTTTTGTATTTGACTAGTAGTCCAACCTCTTCTATCCTTTAGAATTAAAATAAAATAAAAAAAATAAAAAAGCCCTTTGTCCTGATTGGCTGCCCCGGTCAAAAAGCACTCATTCATCACTCCAGGGAACGTTTCAACTGCTTCAGATTCCAACTGTAGGTTTTACACCACTCCAGCAGATGTTTTGGTATCGCACATAGTGATCTTAGCCTTGCATGCAGCAACCTGGCCATGAAAAACCATTTCACGAAGCTGCTGCCACACAGTTCTTGTGCTGATGTTGCTTCCAGAGCTAGTCTGGAACTCTGTAGTGAGTTATGTAGCAGAGAATAGGCATTTTTTAAGCCACATGCTTCAGCACTGTTCTGAGTTTGGTGGTCTACCACTTTGTGGCTCAACTGTTGGCATTTCCATTTCACAATAATAGCACTTACAGTTGACTGGGGCAGATCTAGCAGGACGGAAATTTTATGAACTGACTTGTGGCAAAGGTGGCATCCTATGACAGTGCCATATTCAAAGTCACTGAACTCTTCAATACGACCAAATCTGCCAGTGTCTCGATTTTATACACTGTTGCACTGGGTGTGGCTGAAACACCTGAACTCAATAATTAGGAGGGTTGTCCAAGTACTTTTGGCCATATACTGTACATTGCCTGAAGTTGTTTTATGATTTTTGGCCTAAAATGTATTTTTAAAGCCTACATGTGGTGGGGAGCAATACGGCAAAACAGTACTAAGAGATTTCTTTTGGATTTGCTACTATTTTACCATCATTTACATATAAAAACTCAGAGGAAACAACTAATTTCACTGGTGGTTTTGCATTGTAAATAAAATGGCTATATTTGTGTAGTAGTCATGGTGACCCCTGGTTCCTATCACCACCAAGAAATCCAAAGAAAAGAAATCCGAGTTTGTACGTTTCATCACAATTAACTACTTTACATTCTAACACTCTGAATTACTTTGCTTACACCTTAGTGACTGAACTTAGCAAAAATACAGAAAAATTGCTGGAATTCCCCTTTAAATTGGGATTGATATCCTGAGTCTGCAGGAACAACAGTCCACGTTACTTCAACATCAATAAACAGGGCTAAACTGCTGCAGGATGCACAGGCAGTCTTATGTAAATGTATTTAATGCAGGCATATTTTGCAATGTTCTTTCCAAATATGGATTGTTTGAGCTAGGGAGTAAAAGGTACAGATCGAAAACTCTGAAAATGTTCTAACAGCACATCATACTCTTTTAGTAAAAAATAGAAAGGAAAACACAGTTTGGTCCTTTAATAGATAATGCTATTTACCGTATCTGAGCAAGCGAAGCAGGACTGATCTTCCTCAAGGATGCAGGATCTAGAGAGAGAGAGGGGAAGGTTTCTGACTCAATCTCCAGCCCTGACCATCTCTACTCATTTAAGGAATATTACATGCACTCTTCAAATAGATGCCATGTATTTGTAACTCAGTTTGTAGATTTGTTTAAGTTGCTTTAAATATCGCTCTGAAAAACACAAATGCACAACAGCATTCAGAAGCAGACAGGAGCAGAAAGAGAAAGTTTTTTCAGACTGAGCAGTTTGAGAACAGTACAGAACAGTAAAAAAAAACATACAGATTAATGTGTTGTGGGTAACACTCACTCTTGTTTGGGGTGTATTCCTTCTTCTTTCTCTTCTTTTTTTGCCTCACTTTCTTTCTCCACTCCACTGTCCACAGAAATCAGACAGGTTGGAAATGACAATGACAAATCTGTCACACAAAGCTCAGTTACACAACAAAAACTGCCCTCAATCTATTCTAAATCTTAGCATACAAAATAAAAATGATTTAAAATGAACTAGAAAAGGGCATTTCATTAAAAAATGCAGAGTCATTGCGCATATTAAGCAATTTTCCAGTATTGCTTGGGTGTTGCTAGTTGCTTGCAAAGATATCCCAGGTGGTGGCTAGGGTGTTGCTAAATGGTTGCTATGGTATTCCAGGTGGTTTCTTGGGTGTTGCTAAGCAGTTTCTTGGGTGTTGCTAAGTGGTTCCTATGTTATCCCACATGTTGGCTAGGGTGTTGCTAAATGGTTGTTATGGTATTCCATGTGGTTTTTTGGGTGTTGCTAAGCAGTTTCTTGGGTGTTGTTAAGCGGTTCCTCTGTTATCCCAGGTGGTGGCTAGGGTGTTGCTAAATGGTTGCTATGGTATTCCAGGTGGTTTCTTTGGTGTTGCTAAGCGGTTCCTTGGGTGTTGCTAAGCAGTTGTTAAGTTATCCCAGGTAGTGGCTGGGGTGATTCCAACCAGTTGATATGATATCTCTGTTGGTTGCTAGGTTATTACTGAAGGGTAGCTATGGTATCTGCTAGGTTGATATGCTATTGGCTGCTAGGGTGTCTGTACAGTATTTGTCTCATGGTGACATAAGAGGGGTGCATCTGACCACATAGCTCATTTGGCCATTCATTCCTATGGTTAATGGTTGCCGTGCAGAAACTGTACAACACCCAAAAAGCTATATACACAAAGCAACATCTCACAATTGGACCAAACATTCTGAAGCTGGTTTGGTGCCGAATATTTCGACAAAAATTTGACATAAAAATAAGAAGAAAAATGACAAGAAGAAGAAGTCCAGTTTTATGGTCCACACACCTGCTGGACAGTGGTTGCGTCTCTGCTGCGGTCAGCTGGTGGGCCCTCATATCTTTGGTTTCTTCCACACTAATGCCACACATGGTGCCCTGATTACAAGACTGCTCCTGAGAGATGAGCAAATATGAATATGAAAGCATATAAACTTGTAAACAAATCTTATATTTATACAAACACAGAACCAGTTTTTCTCACCTCCTGTATCTGTGTCATATCAGCGAGCAGAGGGAGGGGCAGTGCGAAGTCCCCGCTGTGTGTGTGAGTGTGTGTGTCTGGGATCAGGTGTGAATGCTTCTCCAGAAGGTACAGTGTGAGGGTGTTGCACACTGTCTGTTCCTCCAGCATCCTGGGACCCTCAGGGACACTGCACACATGCATCATACAGCAATTATATGTTTTTATATTTTATAAAACAGATTATTAAAGTTTCCTGATAATTTAGTACAGTGTATACTAAGCTACGGATAATAGAGAATATTTAAACAGTATATAAATCATTCAGGTCTCACTGTTTATGAAGAAGCCCATGAGCTCAAGAGAGCCCCCTACTGCATGGTTACCCTTGTGAGGTCATTTATAGGTGTAATTATATATGCATTGTTTTTCACCCGTAGCTCACTGAATCAACCAGATGAATTCTGTTGAAAGCGCAGAACCAACTTTCAATCAGTTCCACATTTGTGTTTGTAAGCAGAAGAACAGATATTACTGTTATTATTAGGGGCGTAACCACATTTAGCCCATGATTTGATTCGATTTGTGATACTGGGTCCATGAGTTAGTGTTCTCAAGATAGTTTGAGCAAAATTAAAATGAAGTAAAATGATGACCAGTGAGCGCAGTGGCAGCGTGCCACCACTCTAGCCGACACTTGCCATTGCACATGGTGATCAAAGGCCTGCGTGCAGCAACTCAGCCATAGAAACCCATTTCATGAAGCTCCCGATGTACAGTTCTAGTAGTGAGTGATGCAACAGAGGATAGATGATTTTTATGCGCTACGCACTTTAGCACTTGGTGACTTGTGTCGTCTACCGCTTTGTGGCCGAACTGTTGTTGCTCCTAAATGGTTCAATTTTACAATAACAGCTCTTACAGTTGACCAGGACAGATCTAGCAGGGCAGAAATTTTATAAACTGACTTGTAGCAAAGGTGGCATCTTACAACAGTGCCACATTTAAAGACACTGAGCTCTTCAGTATGACCCATTCTACTGCCTGTGTTTGTCTACAGATACTGCATGGCTGAAACATCTGAAATCAAAAATTAGGACAGGTGTCCACATACTATGTCCACATACATATAGTGTAATCCAAAACTAGTATAATTAATTGTCTTAAATAATGACGTAACACTGACATAAACATTTAGCAAAACCACAGAAATAACTGAATTGCATTGTTAATACAATTCAAAACCTGTGGAGCACTAAATTCCAAATTACATGATCATATCGACTAGATTGTGAATGAATCTGATCAAAACAAGCTCATCATCTCAACATCACTGCCAAGCTGTAGATTTCCATTCTGACAGCCCACTGCTATATATGTATATGTATGAGTGAGTGGGTGGGTGGGGATGTCTATGTCTATGTCTATGTTTTTAACCTGGGGTCAGTCTGTGGGTGCGTTTGTGGCAGGTGCTCTTGTTGTTGTTTGTGTTGCATCGTTTGAAGCGGCGGAGGAGCGCAGCAGGGGATCATGGGAAAACAACATGCCAAAGATGGCAGAATGATATTAATAGGGCTGTTTATTAGGAAGTGATGGCATCTAAGAAGCACTGTGTCTCTCTCTTATGTAAAGGAGAAGCCCTCATCTATCAAGTGCCTGTTTGTCTGAGTGCTTCTACATCCATCTCTTTCCACACTGTCCTTCTTTTATGTAATGAAGAGCCTGGAAGATCTCTCTCTCTCTCTCTGTCTCTCTCTCACTCACTCTCTCTCTCTTGCTCTCACATTTCCTGTGGTGTTTGGGTTGGGATCAGCCGCACTGACACAGCTCTGTCCAGACACACATACAGAGCAATCCAACACGCAGGGGGGACACGGAGCACTGTGCCCGAAGTATAAATAAAGATTTTTTCCGTCTGGAAGGGCAGAGGGAGGAATTAAACAGGGTCATGCCTGTTTACTTACAGCTTCTGTAAACAGAAGCTTCAACATGCGCTCGCCAACACAGATGCGTGCATTCTCCTGTTTCCGGCCTGCCCATGCAAGGCCTGTCTGGAGGATTAAGGCGGGGCAGGATGTCCTGTGCAGTGCATGGTACTTCAACTTAAGTTTCAATTTAAAGTGCCACTATGCACATTTTTGTTAACCCCTTAAAATCCCAGGATTATTACACACACTATATGAACAAAAGTATTGGGACACACCTCCTAATTATTGAGTTCAGGTGTTTTAGCAACACTCATCGCTAACAGGTGGATAAAATTAAGCACATAGCTTTGCAGTCTTCATAGACAAGCACTGGCAGTAGAATGGGCTGCACTGAAGAGCTCAGTGACTTAAACATGGCACTGTCACAGGATGCCACCTCTGCCACAAGTCAGTGTGTGAAATTCCTGTCCTGCTAGATCTGCCCATGTCAACTGTAAGTGCTGTTAGACCATGTTAGACCATGCAAACTCACAGAGTGCCGAGTGCTGAAGCGCACCAAGCCTATCCTCTGCTGAATCACTCACTAAAGGGTTCCAAATTGCCTCTGGAAGCAACATCAGCATAAGAAATGTGTGTTAGGAGCTTTACAAAATGGGTTTCCATGTCACTGGGGTGGTATACATATCAGTACCTTTAGTCAGGGAACATAAATGTACCATAATCCATTAAAATTATAATTTTCTAAGTTGTGTTGATTCCACACACCCCGTCTCGTCTCCAGGCTTTTTATTTTATTGTTCTGTTTTAAAGCATTAGGTTATGAAAAGGTACAAATACGTGAAAAAAACATGTTTAATTGGACCTTAAAACCATTAAAACCATTGGACCTTAAAAAAATTGTACCTTTGAGGGAACGTTTACATTGTTGTACCTTGATGAACGAAGAATGTACCAGCACAGACCCTTTATTTCTAACAGTGCAGCTGCCTATGGGATGACCATGTCATACCATGTCATATCATATTTTAATAATTTTACAAGTGACCTGAACAATTGGGTACAACTGTGTACAGATGTACAGAAAATGCTGTGCGTTTTGATCACATGTGGTGCTCTGGGAAATCCCAAGCTGAGACTGTGGGGAATTTAACCCAACAGCTTATTAAAACCCTGTAATAATCCACTGTTTTAACAGTAAAAGCAAATATGCACATATTTAATCTAACTGGTAAAAATTAAATTAAATTTGTCACTGCTAGTTCTCCTTCAGTTCTCTTTCCCAATACAGTGATTTTTGCCTTTGAAACATCATCATGGGTTTACATTACGTCACCCTATTGCCCTATCGAGCAGGCTTATTACACTCCATTACTTCTGGCACTGTCAGATTACACAATATTATCTATAAAAATGAATAAAAGTATGTTGCATGCCTATATCATCAAACATTCGCCTGATGCTGGGCTGAGTTGCTAAATAATCAGACTTCCTTATGTGGTTTCTGACACTGTATGACACACTGTTGTCTATAAACATGGACAAAAGCACACTGCATGGATAAAAATAGCAGCTGGAGTCATCTTGAAGCATGGATCTCGCCTGTGCTTTTGTCTGTTTTTACAGATAAGAATATGTCATACAGGGTCTCCTTTAAAACAGTGGTTAGGCAGACAGGCTAGTAGCTACAGCACTGTTGGTAGTGCAAGGCTGCAGGCTCTAAGCTGCCTGAGCTCTCAGCACTGTCTCTTTGGCTCAGAGTGAAGCACTTAGCCCTGTTCACCTCTCCCTAGGGGACAATATGATCCCAAAGCTCTTTCCCTGCTTTAAAAAAGCTTCACTCAACACACTCAGCTGTCAGTGAAGACTCCAGAGAGAACATTAACAGAAACTTAAAATGCTCAGCTCGACGCTGTGAGAATTCACAAATACATGCATGCACATAAACCCTCTCTTTTAGACTCACCGGAAAATGCAAGGCCCAAACACTGTGGCCAGGTTCTCCGAAGTCATGTGATTCCACTGGCTGTGGGCGGCCACTCGGGACAGGAAGTGCAGGAGGTAGGACAGGATGTTGTAATTGTCGTCAGGGAGACGGGTCAGGATTTGCTTCAGCGCCTCAGACAGCTCTGTCCCGTCTGTAGAGTCTGAGCATACAAATACATTCATATAAACACCCTACAAACGTCTCATTTTAAAAGGGTTCATATCTAGGGTTGGGATGTAATGGAATACGAGTATTGGGAGTAGGTAATCAGAAAACAGAAGTATCTAAGTTACATTTTGTTAAGGTAGAATTCAGAATACAATTATTTTTTACATCTGCAGAATACTTTTACTTAATACTAAATGAACGTGATGATCTGTTACTAATCTCAGTGTTACTGAGCTCTGCTAAAGCCTGAATAGACTGATAAATCAATGTGATCAGTTATTAATCTCAGTGTTACTGAGCTCTGCTAAAGCCTGAATAGACTGATAAATCAATGTGATCAGTTATTAATCTCAGTGTTACTGAGCTCTGCTAAAGCCTGAGTAGACTAATAAATCAATGTGATGATCAGTTATTAATCTCAGTGTTACTGAGCTCTGCTAAAGCCTGAGTAGACTGATAAATCAATGTGATGATCAGTTATTAATCTTTCAAAAAAAAAAACTTTAAAAACCATTCAACAAAAATCAAACCACCTTGGGAGCCACAACATTTTATGTCCATTTTACCATCTTGGCTTTAAATATATATCTTAGTATGCAATGAGTCAGTTCTTAATGCTTTACTACTATTAGTGTCCTTTGAGATATGATAAAACTGATCATTCTCTTCAAAAGAGGATCTGTTCACGAGTGGTAAGCTTATCATCAGTGTTGTACCGGACTGGAAAAGCAAACTTTTCAACTTCTCAAATTTCAAAACGCACTGCTCACTTTTTTTTTTATTAACCCCACAACAGGGAAAACTCTGCAGTGTGCAGCCATGTCAAAATTAAAAACCTGCCTGCAGTCCAAATGTGTCTCCCATTGAAACTGTGTGGCAATACGAAGCACAAAATATGACAGCAAAGGTACTGTATGGTTTTTTAACTGAAGACTTGTATAATGGAAGAACTGACCACTTGGTGTCTTTACTCTCCAAACGATTACCAAATGTTGTTCAAAGGAAAAACTAATATAACAGTGGTAAACTCTTGCCCCAAACTTTTTGGAATGTGCTGCAGGTGTCAAATTTGTGGGTATATCTTTTATATTTTGTATCTGTTTGTATACCCATGAGTGCCTGCTGCATGCGTTTGCTGTGCGTGTTCGGAATGAGTCCACAGGGCAGTTCCCTCAGGTACAGTTTGAGCAGAGAGGCCACAATCGGAACATCTCCCCTCTCCAGATCCATACGCTCCCCACGGTCCAAACACACGCGCAACGTCCTGCAGCGCGGTGCCGACCCACACACTCTGAACACACCGCTCTGCTGGAGACCTGTAACATCACACACATATGATGAGGGCGTGAGGGCAGTTTTATTGTGCTCTAAATGGAAAAACTAAGCAAGTGACTAGCACAGCAAAGCAAAAGGCCAAACAGGCCACAAATTGAAAAAGAGCTGACATATCGACTTTTGTTTTATTAGCCAGACATGGTGCTCAAGTGCAAAGTGCACAGGGTGAAATATAAACAGCGCAGCAGATGTTTCAGTCAACAGACTTTCATCAGTGCAAGAAATATAAGAACTCTTGTCTTGGTCGTACAAGAGCCCAGTCACAGCGGTGGCTCCACCCATGGTGCAGTTATCCAGTATACCAGTTCATCCAGTTTACAGATTAAAATTCTTTTTAACGTGTTAGTTTTGTCATTAAGTATGCAAGTTAATGAAGATAACATGATGTTCAAACAGAGCAAAACATGCTGATTCCCTCAACTCTTGTGTAGTGAGTTGCAGCCTGAAGTTATTGCAGTTATTATAGTAAGTTATTATAGTAAGCATAGTAAGTTATAGTATAGTAAGTTATTCCAGTTTATTGTCAAAGGAGCAGATAAGATTGTAATAATTTAATGAGTTAACGTGGTAAAAAGAGAGTGGAGGGAAGAGCCAGTCTCTTAGAGTTAGCTTTTAGCCATTAGACTAGCATGAGGACTAGCCAGATGTCTGTGTGCAGCGCTCCTCGCTCAGCCAGCTGCTTCAGCCAACACCGCAGTCTCGGCCAACAAGCTAAGAGGCTCTGCAGCTAAAAGTGATACTGTGAACAGTTTGTAATATTTACAAAATTTCAGCAGCACCTGATGGTCTTAGATTAAAGCTCAAGTGTAAGAGACGCACATATGAGACTAATGACCTTCAGACATAAAACACCATTCAGCACTGTTTTTATGAGGCTGAAGTCAGCTTCAGTTACATTCTGGTGCCTCAGGCCAGTATGTAACAGTTGCAGCATTTAAGGTGGAATGGGAAAATTTTAACAAGAAACTGGTGAATAAGAAACTGACTTCAGCTTAATACCATTTTTGCTGCCTTCAGAGAAGCCGCTTACCTCTTTACCTCTTGTTAGAAAGCAATTTTAACATATGTCTATACATTGTTAATTTCTGTTTTTACTACTTTGGCCAATAAAAATATGCTACTTCAGTCGTTAAATATGTTTCTTTTTAAAAGTGAACGTCATCCAGAATAATATGGTACAGTTAATCAACAAAAAAAGGTTTACTTAAGCATCCAAAATGGTTTTATTTGAAAAAATATGTACATAAATACACTACACCATGATATACCGAAACCTTAATCATACCGTACCGCCCACTACTACCTCAAACTGTGTCGTTTGTTATGTAATTTCAGACCCGTTGCCTGACCCAAATATTAAGCCTGGCATTTGGTTCTCTATGGGTGGGCACATGTGTATGTAAATCTCGGAATAGAGGGTGAGGGCTTTCAACCACCTAATCACAAAAATCTTGTGGGAACGTGGGTGTTTTTCAATTGGCCAAAAACAATTGTCCAATCAGATCTTAGTAGGAATGATTTCACTTGCGGTGGCTTAAACTAACCATACTATCTTTTCAACACTGGCTAAGGAAAACGTCAAGTTGGGTGAATTATCCTATTTGAATAACTGTCTCTGCTGCTTCTGTCTAATTACTATTGGCTTGAATCAGGAAATGTTAAATTCTTTTGGGTAAACAGGTTACACAAACTCTCAGTTTTTACCATTAAAGAGTGTTTTATTGTATATTAGCTATGCGACATATTTATTCCTCTTGCCCATTTTTAAAAGCATCACTGCATTTACGTTTGCACTGAAACAACGCTTAACAGACGCTTTAGCATTGTCAACGGTTTTCTGTACTTTACTTTTTGTTGTATAATACTGGGAGCACCTGGACTTGATGGGCTCCCAAATAACAACATCTGGTTTATTCCACAGTTGATTGATTACAAAAGTTGGAAATTTAACCCGTGAAGGAATGTTCTGGTTTCCAGTTCCACGTCTTGGCTGTGTAACAGCATTTTCGGTACGGGGAGATTGTGTAACATAGCTACAGTTCAGCATCAATTCGAGACCCAACATGCTCACCATACTTTTCCAGGAACTCCACCATGGTTTTGACCACCAGGGGTACACCATGCTGCAGCTTTCCAGCATCCCTCAGTCTTGACAGTGGTACCCCAAATACTGCCCCGGGGTCTGGCTCTGGGATCCTTGACTCTGGTTCTACACGAGCGCTGTGCTTCAGCACCCTCACTGATGACGCAGTTTGCTAAAATCATGCAAAAACAAGCAAGGATGAAACAAGTAGAATGCAAACTACAGTAAGATTTAGTTCTAAGCTTAATTTAACATGTGCAAGTAGAAACTTGCATATGTCATACTTACACAAACACCCTAACAATGCATTCATTTGCACCAAAAAAGACTAAGCACTTAAGTTCAACTGAGCAGCTGTGAATTTAAAAGGACTAGATACTTGGTTTGAAGCATTAATTAGCCAGAATTGGTGGTAACTAGTCATATGAACTCAATTCAGTTCAATTTTAGTCCTCCACACTTAGTTCCTGGTTCGTTTTTGGCAGGGTTTAACGTGTGATTTATTCAAATGAGATAAACAAGTTGTTTGTGAAAGGTTTGATATGAAACAATTAACTGTAGAGAAATTTACCAACTTTGATTTCTTTACAGTGGTGGCGGCAGGAACCAGGGGTCATGGTCTCTATTACACATATACAGCCGTTTTTTATTTACTATCCAAAATCTGAGAACCTGCATGTTTTAAATATAATGTCGATAAAGGTAAAATAACGGCAAATCAAAAATAAGAACATTTTCTTTAGCTACTGTTTTACCCTATAATGCCCTGCATGTACCCTTCCACTATGAATGTAATTTTAAAAACTCTGTTTTTGGCCAAATTCTTTTCTCAAAACTCATGTAACAATGTCTCAACCATCCATTTCCATTTCATGAAATAACGTTTTGTGAGGTATTTTTAAAGGCATGAAACCCTTCAGACGTCTGGTTCCTATCACCACCACTGTAAAGAATGCTGACCAGTTTTCTCTAAAACAGAGCAGTTTGAACCATATCGAAACCACATCTTAGCCATTTGATTATGCAGAAAAATTGAAAAAGGTGGGTTTCTCCTTTAACTTCATTCTGTTGGGATGGTTGAGCTCCTGGAGGGTTTTGCTGTTGCTCACACCTCTCACTTCGGAGCTTTAGCATTGTTTTACTCCAGAAAGATCCAAAAAGCACAGAGGCCCTAAAGTGAAATGGTTAAATGGTGATTAATGTTTAATAAGATGTGGCCACAAATTAATATATTAAGGTGACAATTCAGTATAACTTTCAATTTTAAGGCCACAAATTAGCGAATTGAGGCCACAAGTTAAGCTTCTCATACCGCTTGGCCTCAATATATTAACCTGTGGCTTTAATATTTTAATTTGTGGCCTCAATATAGCAATTTGTGGCCTCGCTTTATTTAAAAAAAAATCATCACCATGTCACCTTAGGGGCTTCGTAAGAGAGAAATAACAGAGAAAAACAAAGCCTATCAAAAACTTCGGTTTCTATGCTGACAGATGCTGGATGTACCAAGAAGTTCTCCAGCACTTCAGGAATTAATGACCTCTGTACGTTTTGGACCGGATACGTTTCAGTTCGGTATTTTTCGGTAGCTTCGTCAGTCATTTGCTACTTTACTACAGTAGCAGCGCTTTCTAGTCTCATCCACCCGCTTGTGCAGTTAGCTACGCGGCTAACACCAGCTGACCGGCGGTCTGCTGTCCTTTCACACCCTCTGGAGTAACTTTAGTTAAAGAGGCTGAAGTTGGCTTTCTATTCCCCAGCTTACCGTTCCACCTTAAATGGTGCATCAGTTCATTGTGACAACGCCTGAGGCGCCAGAATGTAACTGCTGCGCTTTTAAGGTGGAACGAGAAAATTCGAACAAGAAGCTGGCGAATAAGAAGTTGACTTAAACTCGTCTTTATTTACTCACACAGAGTGATACTGAAGCTCCGGCTCCCATTTTAGTCTCCTTGCTCTGCAGTCTCCATCCTCCTCAACGCCGCCATCCAGCCTGGACGGGTTTAGCGTTAGCCAGCCAGCTAACGTTAGCTAGCAGTGCCAACAACGTCGCCCCCGTTTCGCAATTTTCTGAAGTTTTGACCAGTACGACCACATTCTTTACCTCCTTAATAAAAAATACAATTTTTATTGAAAACTGACAGCTCCCGTCTCAGTGTCGGCTCGGTGGTGTGCGCGGTTAGCATCCGTGCTAGCTGTAAACTCGCTGCCCACACTTGCTGTTTACAAGTTGCTAGTCACATGACCGCAATTACGTTTCCATGGAGACGGTGACTCTTAGATGGTTGTCTAGGTTACAGATGCTCTGCTTGAACACTAGTCCTACCCCCAGGAGCCCCTGTTTCAATAAGGCGTGGCCATGAATTAATATATTGAGGCCACGAGTTATGAGGCCTCACAACATTAATTTGAGGCCTCAGTATAGTAATTTGTGGTTTACATATATTAGTGGCCTTAATATAGTAATTAGTGGTCTCAATATAGTAAACTGTGGCATCAATACAGTAATTTGTGGCCGCAATATGTTAATTTCTGGCCTGAATATAGTAATTGGTGGGCTCAATTTATTAATTTGTGGCCTCAATATAGTTCATAGTCTCAATACAGTAATTTGTGGCCTCGATATATTAATTTGTGGCCTTAATATAGTAATTGGTGGTCTCAATATAGTAAACTGTGGCGTCAGTACAGTAATTCGTGGCCGCAATATGTTTCTGGCTTCAATATGGTAATTGGTGGCATCAATTTATTAATTTGTGGCCTGAATATAGTAACTGGTCGCCTCAATATAGTAATTTGTGGCCTCAACATATTAATTTGTAGCCTCAATATAGTTCATGACCTCAATACAGTAATTTGTGGCCTCAATATATTAATTTGTTGTCTCAATATAGTAATCTGTGGTCTCAATATAGTAAACTGTGGCATCAATACAGTAATTTGTGGCCGCAATATGTTAATTTCTGGCCTGAATATAGTAATTGGTGGGCTCAATTTATTAATTTGTGGCCTCAATATAGTTCATAGTCTCAATACAGTAATTTGTGGCCTCGATATATTAATTTGTGGCCTTAATATAGTAATTTGTGGTCTCAATATAGTAAACTGTGGTCTCAGTATATTCTTTTGTGGCCACGCCTTATTAAACAATAATGACCATGTCACCTCAGGGGTTCTGTACCTATCAGAGGCAGTTTGTGGTCACATGGTGCAGTATTGGGTGTTAAAGGAAATTTATTTATTTTTAAAGTTCAAGGGCATCAATATATTTCCTGTCCTGCTTTTTTATTGTCCAGCTTTCACTTTAAATTTGCCACAGTCAGTACTACATATAAAACTCAGAAGACAGGTGTAGGTTCACTGGGTTTTTTCGACAATAAAAGAAATGGCTTGTGACGTCTGGTTCCTATCACCACCACTGTAAAGAAATCTGAGTCAGTAAGTTTCTCTGTAATGAACTATTTCAATCAAACCACCAAACCACATCTTAATGACTAAGTTATCCATATTAAGTGTAATTCTCCTTAAATATTTTACAGAAATGCTAAACTATATAAATAATTTAAATGAAATTCACATCATTTTCCTCGGTCAACTCTATCCATAAGAACCTTAATTAGGTCGATCGCCTCTTATCATTCACAGACACTGATAAGAGTTGTTTAAATGAAGTTTCCAGAGTCTGACTTTGACCAAGTTGTTTTTTATTGGCACTTAAAAAAAACACACAAAATACTGTAACACTTATATTTAAAAAAGGAGAGAATAAGACAGAGTGGGTATCTAAAACAACATCAGGATTTAGTGGCATAACCTTTTCTGCACATTTGTAAAACCTTTCAGACTCAAAAAAAGTCTTTAGTCCTAAAAACAAACAAGCAGACAAAAACATTACATGAAAAAAAAAATGTGACTTTTGTGACAAACACAAACTCTGTATGTCAATACACTTTGCTCAGTGCATGTCTAAAAAACGTTTCCTAGGGGCAATTTTTACATTCACAGTAATTATCACAAAAAATGACAACAAAACAAAAATACAAGAAGTTCCATATTCAGGGACCAGCCTGCTGAAGGACTGCGGGTGGCTAGAACAACGTCGTTATGAAAGTCGAACCTTTTTTTAACATTTATTTTTGTCTTTTTTGTTATTTTTTGTCTTTTTTTTCTACAGCATGTTTGCATTGCTTGAAAGTCTTGTACTGTTGTTCACCCAGTAGACAGCACAAAACGGCCAGCAAACATGTTGTGGTTCTTCCTTTAAAAAACATAACATTTTTTATACAGTAAGGCTATTTTCTGGTCAGGCATAGCATGTGTGGTGGCCAGGGTGGTCAGTCCACCAGCAACTTTGGTTTAACACTGAAGGAAAAGAAGCTAGGAGGAATCACAAAGAGAAGGAAAGTATGAATAAAAACAATGAAAATGTGAAAGGAAAATCTATGCGCTATGAAAGCAACTCGAAGTGTTGCTTAGGAAGAGTTTATTGAAGAATCTAATTTACACAGTTTCCCCATTACCTCATATGTAGTTGACTGGCCAAGACATGTTTGGTGTCTTATGTTCGCTTAGTTGGTAAAGTTTTGCCCTAAAGCTACGAGGCTAAAACGAATGCAAATAATATTTTCCTGGCGAAAAACAGTAGCATTAAAATTTGGTGGCGCCCAACTTTACTCTCACGGATTTGCTAACTTTGGAAATGTGAGCCAATGCAAAACAAGCTAACTCCTCGATTTACTTAGTTAACATGTTGCTTGTTGCCCACATAAATGAGTTAACTAGCTGACGTTAGCCGCTGAGTGTACTATATGTTTCCTACAAAATCACACCACGTCACTTGTGGCGTACAACAAACTATTGAACTAGCTAACGTTAGCTCCAAAACCTTAGTGAAGAAAATAACAAAGCGGCAGTCCAGTGTGAGCACGGCTTAGCTAACAAGTAATGTAAATTTATGTGTTACCAGTTAGCATTGTGCAAAATACATGCTTAAATAGTGGCACACTTGGTTCAAATGAGCTGCTAGAAAAAGCAGCATTGACCAACATGGCTGATCACCAGCAAAACCAGCATATCACTGCTGTCAGAACAAAACCTTGTATCTTAAAAACGCTAACTTTACAGGAGAAGGAAAAAACACACTTTACCTTTAATGTAAGTCAATGGAACCAGACTTTTTTCCAAGTAATTTTGGGCTATTTCTGTTGGTCCATTCATCATGAAATTTACAAACAATGTAAAGGGCAACAGACATTTTCAAATTATGTCAAAAACAGAAAAATGACAAAAATGGAGATTTGGGGTTTTGTTCCGACAGCAGTGATATGTTGTGTTTTGAATGCTCGTATGCGGGTCAACCAGCATGACCATGCTGGGTGATCAGCTAAAGCAGGACCAGACCAGCATTAGCCAGCACAAACTACTGTAGGCTAGCATGCAAGTCATGCTTTTTTTTTGGGGAGGGATGTCATGCTTATGTGGACAAAATTATCGACAAAATTTAGGCTTCGAAATGTCCCCTACTTCTTTTTAGCTGTGATGTACTTTTGCCCATTTTTACAAAAATAATTGTATGTATCTATGCTACACAAGCAAGTCTTCCAACAAAGCAGGTGATGATTTAAGCGTTCAGTGTGCGCAAGGATAATTGTTCCTTCTTAGCTACGTTTGCCTGGCTAGTACAGGCCAAGTACAAACCAAAAGAAGCAAACGTAGAACACCAAACGTATCACAGCGACATGACTTGAACGGCTCTTGTAGTATAGTACAAAGACTAATTAATTTACATAGCGCTAATATGTCTGATAAAGCCTGAAACATTTAGGTGATCACTGTAAACGGTGTATCATGGACATAGATTTTTAAAAACAAACAGTATTCAAATATCCTAAAGTGAAATCATAGTATTGTGTTATTCTTTTAAAGCACCACTCTTTGAAAGCACATCTTGTGCTTTTTGCTTGTGGTAATGACCACAAATTAGCATTTAACTCATGTACTTTCCTATTGTGTAACCTCATTGATTTCTGCAGCACCTTGGTGACTTTGCTCTGGAGGGGATGGATTTGGAGTAAGGATGGAAACTGTGTAAATTTCATTTTTGGCAATTTCGGGAACCAGTCAGGACATGCTAGGCAAATTTAAGCTTCTCCAACCTTTAGCAAAAAGGTTAGCAAAGAGCTCAGGACTTAGCCCTGCAGTCCTTGACTGGGCCTTCAAAACAGATTCCCTCCGTGATTCCAGTCCCTGTCAACATTCCCTGGAACACCATCAAATCTTTGGAGTTTGGCATGGATGGTAGAGCGAGACAGCCTAAAAACAAACACCATGCGTTCTGTGACTGATCCGAACAGTCTAATGCCTTTTTCTTATTATTGACTGTTACAGTGTAGAATTCCCAGGCTGTCTTTACTGTTTCACATTAAGTCTTGATTCTAGACGCCTTGAAATCCAGGCTACAGTACTTTGACTGCACATCATGTCCTGTTACTAAACAAAGGCTCATTTCAAGTGAGTGAATTGTACAAAACCCACTGTCTGCTAAATGTAACCTAATACACGCTTGTCTACTATAAACCTTATAGGCCTCTAGAAATGAGGCAATAATTATATTAATTACAGTTACAAGATACAGAAAATAGAACTGTGCATCACTATGAAATACAGAAAGCATAAAAATTGCATTCAAAATCAATCAAAAAGTCTATTTCTGTGCGCTTTTTATGACCAAATCTGGCACTGAAACGCCTCTAGCTAGAACTAGCTATTCTTAGCTGGTGAGAGCAAAAAGAAATAAAGAAAGAAAGAAAGATAAGCTAATGCATGAAAGTGTCAATATAGACTCCTGTAGATATATGGCAGCTTTAAGGCGTTAAGGAGAGAGGTCAATCAGCTTAGTGTTATGCGAAAACAATGGTTTAGGTAAAAATTACACAGCTGAATCAACACACGGGTAATACGTACATTCCACTAACCTAAAATGTGGTCAATCCACCAAGACATGTTTGGTGTCTAACGTTTGCTTCTTTGGCTTGCACTGGCGCTATGAGGCTAATGTAGCTGACAAGTAATGGACAAACAGTAGTAGTCTTGATACCTGAATTTTTTTAATGTATTCGCTTCAAGATGGCTGGTACCACTAGATTTAGCTATGTAATATACAGCATGTCACACAGTGTCAAAAACTACATAAACAAGTATTTTAACTAGTATCTAGAATCTTCCATTACTTGTTAGCTACACTAGCTCCAGTGCAAAGCTAAAGAAGCAAACATGTATTGGCTAATTGACGACACTTGGGGGTAGATGGAAAACTGTGTCTTGGCTGAACCATTGCTTTAAGGTGTCTCAGGCCACTGAAGCCACTTTGTCACAGTCAGATGTACTTTGTTTATCTGGATCAATTGCAGACATGTTCTTCTCTTTCTTCTCCCGGTCCCAGCAAGGCAAGGCAGCCAGAAACAGAACCACGCCTCCCAACACCACACAGGACCCACTGAAGTAGAACGCCAGGTCATATGACTGGGTCCAGTCGAAGAACCAGCCTGAGGTGGAGAAAAGAGAGAGTTAGCTAAGAAAGCTTTGTTAACTGTATTAGAAAGTCTGTAAAAGTGGTAGTGGCTGAGGATTGACGTGGATTGGTATGTGTTGGTGTGAGTTGGTGCACGGCTGCATCTGAGAACTCTGTCTCCATACTTACAATAACAGGTCCCAGAATGACCCTGAGGGTTCCAGCTTTTATTGGTTCTATATTATCATCACTGTTGGGTGATCATCATTAAATGGAGCAATAGAAATGCTCCAAAGTTACAATGTGTGTGTGTGTGATAAACAGATTTGTTGCTGGCTGTTGTCCACTAGTGTGTGTATTTGTATGAGCTGGTACACAGGTGCATTTGAGGACTCTGTCTCCGTACCTACAACAGGAGGTCCCAGCATGATCCCGAAGCCTCCAAAGCACATGAGGACGCCATGCGCCTGGCTGAGGCGCTCAATGCCTACGATGTGCGTGGTAATGTAGGATGTGAGTGACCAGTTGCCTGAGAAGAAGCCAAGAGTGGCAGACAGCACCTGCAGTCCCACGTAGCTCTTCCATGCGGGCACCAACAGCAGGGCCACACCTGAGCCCATCACCGTCAGGGCATAGAGGAGCAGGCCGCTGACCCACCGCACATCAACCAGGGCACCCAGGACCAACTTGCCCATGCCAGTTGCCACAGCAACAATGGAGACGAGTGGGATTAGGGCCACGTGCTCGATGAGGCCCTCGCTCTGGGCTACGTCCTCCATAAACAGGACAGGTGGGAATGCGCCTAGGCTGAAGAGGAAGATGGAGATGCAAAAGGCTGTAAAGCTGCGGTCCTGGAAATATTCAGCCATCGTGTGAAGGTAATCCACGTGCGGTCGGAGGCGCTTTTTGACGACCTGCACCACTTGGGAGCACACAGGCTCTGCCCTCGGCTCTCCGGTCTCCATGGAGATCAAGAGCTCCTTCACGGGGGACTTGTGGGCGGAGCCATTCATGGTACTGGAATCAATGATGATGATGGCAGCTGGTTTGTCGTAGAGTGGTCCATCTTTGTGGGCAAGAGCGGCCTTTTGTTTGAGGTAATAGCCTGGAAGGTTCAAGGGTCGCATGGGGCCGGCGCATGCCATCAGGTTCAGCGCCAGAGCACCGATGATCAGCAAGCAGCCGTCCAATCCGAACAGGTCAATCAGCTCATTCTGCGCCGTTGCGTACAGAAACCCACCCACACTGGTTCCTGAGAAAGAGACACACAATAATGAAATTAGCCTTTAAATATAATATATTTGACATTTTAGACATTAATATAGCAGCAAACAACTAGTTTCTAAGTAAAGATATAGTAGAGGAATGGCGTCCTAAGCAGAGAACATTTCCCCGTACGCATGTTATCCCGTTTTGTGAACATGTCGGCCCTACCCACGTTTTGTTTTGCCCTCCCCAAAAAGGGACCGCCCAAAAAGTGTGCATGCACAATTCAAGATGGAACGGCAAAATCCGAATAAGAAACTAAGGCAACTGAATATGGTCTATCTGCTGCACCTTTTAGGGCAGAACGGGAAAATTCGAACAAGAAACTGGTGAAAAAGCCGCTGACTTCAGCTTCATTGAGAATTGAAATGCCTGAAAATGGATGAGGAGGTCGATCTTGCTGGACAGGAAGATAACATTAGCTCATTTTTGCTGTTTCACAGAAACAATATGTCAGTATTGTCTTGTCTTGTTTGCAAATGTTTATGCTAGCAACTGGTTAGCTTCACAGCAGCAACTGTAGCGACAGTTTGCTAACCCACTACCGAGCTAACGTTAGCTTGCTGCATTGCGGTTCACTCTAACGTTATATCATGGTATTTGTGTGTACAATGTTTGTGAAGTGTTTTTTGGCCACAAAGATAATAAAACGGAGTGTGGGCCTCAACAATGCATGTCCTCAAGTTTGGGGGGGCGGAGTTTCAGAAGAAGCATTGAAGGGAGGGATGTGTTTGTTTTCCTGCTGCGTTCAAATATCAACAATCTTTCTCCAGAATCGTATCGTGCTCCTTTAACACAAGGATGTTTTTTTATAACACAAATACAAATTAATTCTCACTCACAGACTGTTGAAACAAGCAGAGAAATTCTGTTGAAACTGTGGATTCTAAACTTTCGACTGACAGCACATTTGCGTTTGTAAGTCAAAGAAACGTTATCGTAGAAGAAGCCGAAAAAGAAAAAAAAATTCTTTATGTTTTGTCCGCAGAGAAAAAAAATAGACTTGAATTGCACCCCTAGTCACATTAATATATTTTGTTGTTGGTTTTCTAAGTAAATAAATAAGTTGACACATCCTAGATAAAAAACATACTTCTGCATATTTTAATGCACAATTACTATTTATTTGCTGAATTCAATATATTGGGAAAAAAACAAACATAAAATGTGGCCTGTGCAAAAGTTATGTTATATAATTTTGTATGCTAAACAAATTGATAGAAATTGTGCACCAAAATTTATAGAAAAATGCCAAATTTAAGTTTGAAGCTGTGAACTTATTTTCACTTGTAACATAAAATTTGACTGAGTGTTCAGACTTCTGCATACAATTGTGTAGATGTAACTTACATAACCTACATAACATAGTAGTTATCATATAACTTACTGTAGTTGCTAGATAATAAGTCTTAAGTTAATAATTAGCCTGGAGTTTGCATGCTAAGGGAGCGGAGCCATACCTGTTGTAACGATGCCCAGGGCGAGGCCACGCCTCTTGTCAAAATACTGACAGGTGATGGTGAGTGTGGCTGCATAGACGAGACCACAGCCCATACCTGACAACAAACAAACAAACAAACAAGCACTCAAAAACACACATACAGCCTACCAAACGTCAAATGTCAGACAATCTGCTGTAAACACATCAGCAAATCCAGACTGAATAATATCTGATGTGTGATATTTAATGAGTAATCGATGACTAATAGCTGATGACTAATGTTTGTTCAGAAATGAACTTGTGTTTACGCTTTCTAGAACTCTCTGTATTATCTGATTAAAGGGGTATAAAAAGATTAGTCTCTTACAGACAAAACTGGATCATTCTGAATGTGAGCATTTAATATTACTCATTCAGATATGTATGTGTCGTGTACAGTATCATGCAAAAGTTACAAACTGTTCTGATATTTTCTTATATATCGTACATGATATTAATATTTCAAGGAAGTGCAGAAAACATATTTAACTAAATATAATACTCATTTTCAGTATTCTGTGTGTCCACTCTACTTTATTCCAGCTTCCATTCTTTTCAGGAGACTCACTTTCAGTTTCTCAAGTAAATCTGCAGACACACCTCCAAAGTTCAGTCTTAGAAGTTGGTTGATCCTTTTCTGAAGTAATCAAACACATTCAGTGGTGTTGAGGTCTGGACTCTGGGGTGGTCAGTCCATTGTTGAGCTTCTTTGTTTGATGTGTCCGTCTCCTTTTCTCAGTGAGGTCTTCTTGACAGCTACACATCCTTTCAGACCCATAGCACTGAGTCGTCTTCTCACAGTGGTAGGATGGACAGATCTGAAGCAGCTTGATTTTCTCCTCTCTCTCAAAGATGGAAGCTTTAAGTGCTGTTTACCTGCTGGGGGCAGTTCTGGTGGTCTATCAGGTCTTCCAGGTGGTTGTTAGGAGACACATTTTCTCAGTTCAGTTTTTGAACTCCAGTTTTGGAAAGTTCCCTTATTTATCTTTGACCTTCTCCTTCATTATAAAAGTGGATTATTTTTCATCTAATCTGTTTAGAAACATCTCCTGAAAAATGACTAACTTGTTTTTAATGGTTATTTGACTGGGTATTACATAAAAGAAAGGCTGACTTTTGCAGGGTACTGTATGTTATGCAGGTTGTAGCAATGTGTCATGGTGGGGGATTGATTTATGTGGACAAGCTGTCCCTGTCAAGTTTGATAAAAACAACTAATGTCTGGTGGATCTCACACACACGAACATAACTATAAATACAGTGACTTTTCCACACATCCACACACACACACACATACACACACCTACATACACGAACATAAGGCAACAACACCATAAGCTGTGATATAAATAACTACAGGACGTTCTTGATTAGATTTATGTAAACACAAGTTGTGAATAAACTTCTGAAGGTCAGACTTCAGTGGACACGCAAACACTCTCACACACACACACACACACACACACACAGACACACACACACATTTGTTATTCCTGAAATAGCTCCAGTCAATAACCCTCTTGTTTCACAGTACACTTAAGCTCTTTAAAGTGCGTAATGTAATGCCTGTAGAGCAGAGCCAGGCTGGAGAATCCAGACTAAAATGTGAGAATCCCCCTGGATGATCACTCTAAACCAGGGACATCCAGCTCTGGTCCTGCAGAGCTGCAGTCAAAACAGCTTGGTGATTTCCTGTTAGAGCAGGAATTTATCAAACTCTTCTCTTGTACTTATATTATGTCTTATGCCAATATATATAATGTAAGTCAATGGAACCAGATGTTTTTCCAAATAATTTTGGGCATCAGGTATTTTCAAATTACATCAAAAACTGGAAAACAACAAAAATGTATATATAAGGATTTGATAGATAGATAGATAGATAGATAGATAGATAGATAGATAGATAGATAGATAGATAGATGCTTTGATTTACAATGGGTCTTGGCATTCTTGGCCTTCTGGAAGTTGTACATACATTTGGTTGTTTGTTTGTTTGTTTCTTTCTTTCTTTATTACATTTGATTTCTGTAAACATTTTTCTCAGAAATATTCTTTTATCATATGTTTTGTACTTCCTTCAGGAAATGCAAATCTAGTTCCAACATTGTTTTTATGAGCAAATTAAAGGCTTACTACCCAGATAATTAGCATATTGAACATAATTCTCTCAGGTGCCGAAGATTACCGTATGTGCATTTGTGTGCCATCAGAACTTTTTCAGCATAAACATTACAGCTAAAACAGTTAGTAATGATACTTTTATTTAAGCATCAGTTCTTAAAGGTAAAACGTCAAGATCAGACATATTGATTCAGTATTGACTCCCTCATGCTCAGAGGATTCTCCTGCTTGGATCTGCACTACAAGCATTACATTACAGACTGCAAAGGACTCTGTAAAACAAGAGGATTATTGACTTTCAAGAATTAAACACCCCAGTCTAGAGATGAGAGAGGAAATAGAGGAGAAGAGAAGGGAAGAGAAAAGAGGAGAAGAGAAGAAAAGAGAAGAAAGGAGAAGATGAGAAGAGAAGCAAAGAGAAGGAAATAGAAGAGGAAAGTGGTGTAGATAATAAAAGAAAAGGGAAGAGACGAAAGGAGAAAAGAAGGGAAGAGGAAACAGGAGAAGAGATGCCCACTGAGAGGAGGAGAGCACGACATTGTAAAAGTTTTACCGACGACGATGCCATATGAGAAGATGAGGAAGGAGACGTTAGGGGCAAAAGCGCTGAGCATCAGCCCTCCTGCCACCATCACACCACTGAATATAGTGACCGGCCGGGCACCAAAATTATCCACACATGCACTGCAAAGTGGACCTGAGAGAGAGAGAGAGAGAGAGAGAGAGAGAGAGAGAGAGAGAGAGAGAGAGAGAGGTTATTACATGCTTGAGCAGTATTCTTGACACACTCTTGCCGTTCTCTCATGCAGCTTCATGAGGAGCCACCTGGGCTTTTTGACCAGGACTGAAGAAGACACACATGCCACCATGCTGCCGGGGGTGGGGGGTTGGAGGGGGGTCATTTATTTAAGAAACATACATACTCTTGTCCCTCTTTATTTGGGCAGGTAGTGTTCTCTCACCTCCACCAAACTCAGAATCATCCTGCCACAGTGAAGCGTGATTCATCAACCAAGACAACACATTTCCACTCTAGCTGACGCTGATCTTAGGCATGTGTGTGGCTGCTCGGCCGCTGTGGTTACCATGGCAACCCAATCCAAAAAGCTTATTAAATGTGCTAACATTGCTACCAGAAGGAGTTTGGAACTCAGTTTGAGCTGATGTGGCTAATAGACATTTCCACTTCATAATAATGGCACTTACAGCTGATCAGGGCAACTCTAGCAGAGCAGAAATTTGATGAACTGATGAAAGGTGGAATCAGGAAATTGTCGTGAAGTGTCATGTTAAAAGTCACTGAGCTCTTCAATGTGTCTCTTTATGTAAATGTTTATGTTTATGTCTTTTAGAAATAAATTCATGCATAAGCGTCAGTATCACTATACTCTTTAGCTCTCAAATTAATTTCATGTATTTAAGTGTTAAGTCTTTAGATCAAATTGTCTTAATAAATAATATAAAACATACAATCAATTAAGTCTGTCCATATTTTAACTTGTATTGTATGTATGACAGTGAGAAAATCAAAGAGGCTTATTAAGCACAGCAAACTGGTAGATATATATTTACCAAACTGACCCGACTATTAATGTATTTGACTATTGATGTAGGCACAGTTGTGTTGACAGAGAAAGTAATCATGGGTCAGTAACACAGTTATTCTGACATGAAGAGTAAATATGATCTGATAACACAGTTATTCTGACATGAAGAGTAAATATGATCTGATAACACAGTTATTCTGACACGTAGAGTAAATATGGTCCGATAACACAGTTATTCTGACACATAGAGTAAATATGGTCTGATAACACAGTTATTCTGACACATAAAGTAAATATGGTCCGATAACACAGTTATTCTGACACATAGAGTAAATATGGTCCAATAACACAGTTATTCTGACATGTAGAGTAAATATGGTCTGATAACACAGTTATTCTGACACATAGAGTAAATATGGTCTGATAATACAGTTATTCTGACATGTAGAGTAAATATGGTCCAATAACACAGTTATTCTAACACAGAGAGTAAATACAGGGTAATAACACATTTATTGTAACACAAAACTTGTAAATGCTGGCTAATAACACAGTTATTTTGACTCAGAGAAAGTAGATACGAGACAATAACACAGTTATTCTGACACAGATAGAGTTAATACAGGCCACACTGTCTAGGTCGAAGGGTGTGTGTGTGTGTGTGTGTTTAGAGGCCAGTGCTACCTAGTCCTAGTTTTATATGTGTCATCTATTGTGCTAAAGGCAGTATTGGTGTATGGTGTCCAGAAAGCGTCAATAGTGTGTGTGTGTGTGTGTGTGTGTGTGTGTGTGTGTGTGTGTGTGTTGTGAGCTCACAAGGACATATCATATCCAGACTAGATCATGGAGTTGCGAGGCCCCTGAGTACAAATGTCTTTGGACGCATCTGTAACAACTGAAGAAATACATAAAGCAGTCATTTGTAAACACACTCAGACCTGTTTGTAAACTGTATAATGAGCCATTGCTTTTGTAACTTGGCAACTTAAGATGAGGAACATGGTGAAATAAACATCTCAACTAGATGATGCCATCAAGCTTGGGTATAAAAGGAGCATCCAGGTAAGGCCGAGTCCTTTATAAGCAAGGATGTGTTAAAACTCGCCACTTTGCCAGTGAATAACCCAACAGAACAACATTTCTGAACAAGATTTCACTCTCTACAGTGCATAATATCTTAAAGGATTCAGGGAATCTGGAGAAATTTGTGTGTAAAGACGCAAAACTGAACACCACAACTGGCCGACTGCTCAGGCACTGCATTAAAAAAACAGCATCCTTCTGTGATGGATACCACCTCATTGGCTCGAGAATACTTTGACAAACCGTTGTCAATAAACACAAACGTTGCTGTGTCTTCCTTTATACACTGTCCAAAGAAAAACATACGTCTCCAAAATACCAACTTTACAGGAGAAAGCAGAAACGTTCCTAACTTTCAATGAAAGTTAATGTGAAGAGATGTTATTCCAAGTGATTTCAATTGGTCCATTTATCATGAAATATTCACACGATGTAAAGGACAGCTGCAGAAAAATAAAAATCAACACAATGGAGATACATGTTTTTTAAAAGCGATGATATACAAATTAAGGCTGTTCTAAGCACAGCAGAAGCTATATGTCCATAAACGCCGCCAACTTCTCTGGGCTCAAGCTCATCTGAAATGGACTGATGCACAGTGGAAACGCCTATCATTATGATCTGACTTTTCGGCTAAAGAAGAAAAGATGACCTTGACCAGTGTGAAGTTCAAAAGCCAGCATCTGTGTTAGTTCCCATGTGGGCATTACCCACATGTAGAAATATACACAAAAGATTTTATATACTAGGCAACAGGCTGGAGGCCCCCAGATTATTTGAGTTTAAGACCCCTGCCTTAAGGTCTGCAACAGTGAACAAAGTGTGTGTGTGTGTGTGCATGTGTGTATCAGTACTGGTGTGAACAAATGTTGCAGAGTCACACACACACACACACACACACACACACACACAGTTCCAGTCATGCCCTTTCTCTAGCCTGTTTGGAACAATGACAGAATTTAACTCCATTTGAAATTAACCTCACACACACACACACACACACACACACACACACACACTCTGACACACACTCACCTGCTGTTAACTCCTGTAACATGAAACTGCTGTATCTGCCCTTCTCTTGGAACATGCTGTATTGTTTACTGTTTATTCCCTCTCTCTCTCTCTCTCTCTCTCTCTCTCTCTCTCCCTCTTGCCCTCTGATACACTCGTCTTGCTTTTCCTCTCCATTTCTCTTTTTTCTCACACTTGTCCTCTCTCTCCTTCTCTCTTATAATGTGGTTCTAGTTGTTTTTGTTGCTGCTGTTGTTGTTGTTATTGACTCTACTCTGCTACTACTTTTGTTGAATACATTTACACTGTAAAACATCTCCTTTCTAAGCCTTAGCAATAGTTCACCTTATAGTCACAGTCATTTAAATGAACTGAATTGGCTTAAACTCAACAGAATCAAATAGAAACAAATCAAATGTAATCGAAATGAAATGAATTTGATCATGTTGAACTGAACTGAATTGAACAGATAAGAACTCAATTGACTATACTGAATTAAATCAAACTGAAATGAATTTAAACTGAATAGAATTACATTTACTGAATTGAATAAAATTAAACTGAACCAACATGAATGGAATTAAGTGGAACTGAAATGAAAGAACTAAAATAACTTAGTGAATTGAATAAAAATAAAATCAAACTGAACTGAAATAAACTGTATTAAACTGAACGCAACTGAAAACTGGATTGAACTAAAGTTAACTGAACTGACCGCAGCTGAACTGAGGATTTACATCACACTGTAAAATGATGCTGACTCAGCAGGTCTTCCTTCTCTTCACACACAAATAAAGTGAGGGTCCTCTCTCTCTCTCACTCTCTCTCTCTCTCTCTCTCTCTCTCCCTCTCTCTCTCTCTCTCTCCCGCTCTCTCTCTCTGTCTCTCTCTCTGCTCTTTCCTTTTTCTCAGTAAGAGCACACACAGCACTGAACTACAGCTGAACCGTGTGTGTGTGTGATGTTCAGATCAAACACACTCAGATGACAGATCAGAGAGCTCAGTGTCCCAGAGAAGAGAAGGTCATCAGGTCCAGCTTAACTAATTAACACTAGAGCCAATCAGTGACCGGTCATTTGAAACTAAAGGAAAGGTTAACACAGGAGTAAACAGCTTCACAGCAGTCATTCCTCTCTCTTGTTCTCTTTCTCTGAACTTTACACACCTCCACTATCAGGTGCCGTGTAAGCTTCAGATGAGCTTCACACGTATAAACCCACTTTACTGCGGTAACACCAATGTAACCCCCCCAAACCTGCTCAGCTCTCACTGCTGCTCTTTATGGCAGCAACTGGTTCAAACCAGCCTTAAAGCACAGTGTAATAAACACGTCCTGTAACCGAAAGCCTGTGCGCACACACACACACACACACACACACACACACACACACACACACATACACACACTGCCCCCTCCTGCCCCATCAGGTGTGAACTATTATATAACAATAGAAACCTCACAATACACACAATAACACAGTGAACTGGACACATTGAGAGTTCACAATAATTACAAATGTCAATGATTTGTGAAAATAAATCACTATTTTGAGACACTAACTCAATATTTAATATTAATAAGAAAATAGGTAATTATTTCAAAATACTAAGTCAATATTTCATGACAATTTTTTTCACAATACTCAGTCAATATTTTGAGAAAATAATAAATTATTTTAAGCTACTAAGTCAATGTTTTGTGAAAATAAGTCTTTTTTGACATATTAAGTCAACATTTCATGAACATAAGTCATTATTGTGAGATAGCAGTATCATAATCATAAGGAAACCCATTCCCAGCGAGTCACTTTTTTCTCATCCTCTGTTTCTGTCCAATTTTTTTTTACTATTTTTGCAAAATACTGACTTCTCCTGAATCCCCAAATAATTACCAGTTTTCTCAAGATCTTGACTTGAAAACAAGTCATTATTTCAAGATAACAAGTCAAACTTTTGCAAAAATAAATAAACAATTTGAGCCAATATTTTGTGAAAATACATTTCTTTTTACATTTAAAGACAATATTTTTAAAAAGTGATTATTTTGAGATCTTAAGGTAATATTTTGTGAAAATAAATGACCATATCTATTTTTTTTTTTATTTAATAATTTTTTTTAGGGAAATCTTTTCTGGGCTTTTCCACTTTCCTTGAACATTCTCTTTTTTGTCAGTATTTACTGTACCTTCTTTGCAAATAATAAAATAATATAAATATTATACTATTTTATAAAAATAATTTTTTTTTTTTTAATTGTCGCTATTCAGAGATTTTAAATACAGTAAAAAAATATTTTCACATTCAAACAGAAGAGGGGATTCTACATTACCCAGACTAATATCCTATAAACTGTAGTCTTAGGCCTGAATATCCCTTTAATAAACTCACACTGAGAACACGTGTGGTGTAGAGCTGTGTTTGATCCACTGAGAGGTCAGTAACAGTCCTTCACTTCGCCCCTGTGTCACGTGTTTGTGTACTCACTTGCGATGAGTGCCACCCCTGACACCATGGAGCCCACCCAGGCGGTCATGCCCTTGCTCTCGTGGAAGGCGCTGAGCCACTCCGGGTACAGGACGCCCACCGCCTGGGGCGAGCCGAACGCCAGCAGCTGGGCCATGAAGGAGGCCAGCACAATGACCCAGGACCAGCCTCCGTCCAGAGACGCGGCCATCACCACAGCTGGACCACACAGCGGCTAGATTAAACACACACACCCACACGCGGGGACCTGCAGAGAGAAATACACACTGTGTATATGAATCATAATAAAAGCCCATTAGAAAATTATCATCTTCTTTACATTGTGTGAACAGTGATGAGTAGATATGATACACAGACCAAACATGACTGAACAAAAGTACTTAGAATAAAATCTAAAGTCTGAAAGAGAGAATGAGAGAGAGACAGAGAGAGAGAGAGAGAGAGAGAGAGAGAGAGAGATGCCATACAAATAAAAATATGGACCATAATTTGGAGAAAAAAAAGACAGAAAGAAAGAAAGAAAGAAAGAAAGAAAGAAAGAAAAAAAGAAAGAAGATGAAGAGGAAAGAAGTGAGTGAGTGAGAGAGAGAGAGAGAGAGAGAGAGAGAGAGAGAGAGAGATGCCATACAAATAAAAAATATGGACCATAATTTGGAGAAAAAAAAGAAAGAAAGAAAGAAAGATAGATAGATAGAAGATGAAGAGGAAAGAAAAGAAGTGACTGAGTGAAAGAGAGAGAGAAAGAGAGAGAGAGAGAGATGCCATACAAATAGAAATATGGACCATAATTAGGAGAAGAAAAAGAAAGAAAGAAAGAAAGAAAGAAAGAAAGAAAGAAAGAAAGAAAGAAAGATAGAGGATGAAGAGGAAAGAAAAGAAGTGACTGAGTGAAAGAGTGAAAGAGAGAGAGAGAGAGAGAGAGAGAGAGAGATGCTTTAACACGGTAACTTTAAATGCTTCTACACGTCAATAAGACCCAAACTGTAACTCCTGTAGTCTGTATATCTCTCAGCTCTCTCATAGCCTAGAAGAGTAATAACGGAGTCTCGCGCTACCTCCGCGGTGTCCGCTGCTCTCGTGCCGGGCGGAGTGGCGCTCCGGCTCCGTCTTGCGCCCTGGGGCTCCGCCGCTGCACCTCCGCGCGCTCACAAACCGCGTTTTGACCAGAGAGCGCAGAGACCACACCTCTCTCTCCAGACCGGACCGCCTCGAAAGCTCTGCGTCACCTTCTCGCGCCTGTGAGCGAGCGAGCTAAACGGCCCCGCGCGCTCAGTGTGTTTTTATTCGCGCGCTGTTGCTCTGTCGCACGCGCAATGAGAACCAGGAGGGGTGGGGGGAAAGGGGTGGGGGTGGGGGGAAAGGGGTGGGGGTGGGGGGTCGTTTACGTACAGTTCAGTCTCTAGTTATTAGTAAATAATAACAGATTTATGAAGCATGGCTGATTTATCGAGTGTACATGTTGTTATAGCTCAGAATGTAGACCAGGGTTCGGCAGCATGCAGCTCCGGAGCCGCATGCGGCCCTTTTCTTGCCCTGTTGGCTCAACAGCAGGATTAGACTTTTAGGTAAAAATAAAATAATCCTCCTTTGCAGTGATTTATCATTGATTTATTAGTCTACTCAGGCTTTAGCAGAGCTCAGTAACACTGAGATTAATAACTGATCATCACATTGATTTATCAGTCTACTCAGGCTTTAGCAGAGCTGAGTAACACTGAGATTAATAACTGATCGCCACATTGATTTATCAGTCTACTCAGGCTTTAGCAGAGCTGAGTAACACTGAGATTAATAACTGATCATCACATTGATTTATCAGTCTACTCAGGCTTTAGCAGAGCTCTGTAACACTGAGATTAATAACTGATCGCCACATTGATTTATCAGTCTACTCAGGCTTTAGCAGAGCTCAGTAACACTGAGATTAATAACTGATCGTCACATTGATTTATCGGTCTACTCAGGCTTTAGCAGAGCTCAGTAACACTGAGATTAATAACTGATCGTCACATTGATTTATCAGTCTACTCAGGCTTTAGCAGAGCTCAGTAACACTGAGATTAATAACTGATCGTCACATTGATTTATCGGTCTACTCAGGCTTTAGCAGAGCTCAGTAACAATGAGATTAATAACCGATCGTCACATTGATTTATCGGTCTACTCAGGCTTTAGCAGAGCTCAGTAACACTGAGATTAATAAATGATCGTCACATTGATTTATCGGTCTACTCAGGCTTTGGTAGGAACCTCAGTGTTCACAAAGAATCTGTTTCCTCTTTAGAGTCCATTTAACCAGTGTGCTTCTTAAGCACCATGCATATATATATATATATATATATATATATATATATATATATATATATATATATATATATATATATATATGAGTAGACTGATAAATCAATGTGGCGATCAGTTATTAATATATATACATATATATATATAATAGTAAATAAACAAGCATTTATTTAAATTTATCAAGTATATTTTGTAAAAAAAAAAAATCTCTTAAATATGTACAAGTAACTACCCTGAATACTGTTTTTTTATGTAATATGGGCTGAATACAGATCATTCATTTCTATATTCTGAATACATATTCCCAGTATTCCCTTACATCCCAACCCTGAAAGTAGCTCATAATCAATATGATCAATACAATTCTTTACAGGTTACTGATGTTATTTTGATAAAACAGTAATCATTTCTATAGTAGGACATAGTAGGGCTTTATTTTATCTACATACCTCAAAAGCAGGCTCCTCCAGCTCCTTATGGTCCTCTGGATTGCAAAGGTTTTTAATTTTTCAATAAAACAAATGTTTATCAAAGGCTTTGAAGCTCATGCCGGTGATGAGTGTATGATATTCTCAGTAGTGTTTGTAATAAAGGAGTGTGAAGGGAAGTGGGGTGCTGGTGTGGGGGAAACACGGTCAGTTTGAACCAGTTACCAGAGGGGGGTGGGGTGGGGGCAGTCCTGAGTGCGAGAGGCAACGGAACATCAGCCGGTGTCACTTCTGAACTGGAGCATGTGGTGGAACAGTAGAGAATACAAACATAAATATACATCAGTGAATATGATTCACATGGATTTGTACAGAGACTGTAGTACTTACACTCATTTACAAACACATACACATGCTAGACACTTTATTAGGTTCTCCTACCTTACATCTACATTCATTGTTATGGTCTACTTACAGGTACACATTGTAGGTTTACTATTACAGATTGTAGTCCATCTGTTTCTCTGTGTGATTTACTGCACTCATCAGTGGTCAGGACCCCCACAGGACCACCACTGAGCTGGTATTATATAGGTGGTGGATCATTCTCAGCATGGACAAGGCAGTGACATGTTAGTGTGTGATCATTTTAGCTTCCACTGTACATCAGGTTTTTGTTTATGGTATGTTTTTGATTCGTTTTGTTTCAAACTTTTCCCACAGGCCCAGGAACATTTCCATTGACTATCATGATCTGGTGAGGTCACTTGTGGAATTGACTGGGCCGTGAGCTGGGACACTTTTCACCACTGGTGGTTTCAGTACTTTTTGGCAGTACTGAAAATGACTGGGCTGCAAGCTGGGACACCTTTCACCACAGTAATGAAGTTCAACTGGGCCATGAACTGGAATACCTTTTTACCACAGTTGTGAACTTTGACTGGGTCGTGGCCTGGGAGATTCTTAACCAACTTAGCAGAGGGGACACTTATCACAGCAGTGGTGGAACTTGACTGGGCTAGGACACTTTTCACTGCAATAGAGGGGTTGACTGGGCCATGAGTGGACACTTTTCACTGCACTTGCGGAGTGTAACTGAAATGTGAGCTGGAAACTTTTCACCACCTTTGTAGTATTTGACTGGCCCGTGAGTCAGGACACTTTTCACTGCGGTTATGGTGTTTAACTGGGCCATGAGCAGGAAACATTCTACCACAGCTGTGGAGTTTAACTGGGCTGTGGGCACATTTGTAGTATTTGACTGGTCCGTGAGCCAGGACACTTTTCACTGCAGTTATAAAGTTTAACTGGGCCGTGAGCTAGGACAATTTTCACTGTAGTTATGGACCATGAATCGCGACACATTTCACCATGGTTATGGAGTCTTAGTGGGCCATGAGCAGGACACATTGCTCCACAGCTGTGGAGTTTAACTGGGCTGTGAGCAGGATACTTTTTACCATGATTGTGGAATTTGACTGGGCCATGAGCCAGGACTCTTTTCAGTGCAGTTATGGAGTTTAACTGGACTATGAATCAGGATACATTTCACCATGGTTCTGGAGTCTAACTGGGCTGTAAACAGGACAATTTTCACCGCAGTTGTGGAATTTGACTGGGCCATAAAAGGAACATTTTTCAATGCTGTTGTGGAACATGACTAGACCGTAAAAGGGACATATTTTGCCATGATTGTGGAGTTCAACTGGGCTGCGAGCAAGAACACTTTTTACTCCAGTTGCAGTTTGACTGGACAGGGGCCGGGATGTTCTTTACTGCAGTGGCATAATTTGTGTAAGCCACGGGCCTAAACAATTATGCACCGCAGCAGCGGAGTTTGACTGGGCCACAGGCTGGAAAACTTTTCATAGTGGTTGCAGAGTTTGACTGGGCCACAGCTAGGAGATTCTTCAATGCGGTAATGGAGTTGGACCGTACACTTTTCACTGTGGAAGCAGAGTTTGACAGGGCAGCAAAAGTGGACCTTATAAAATGGACAAAAAGAGTAGATACAAGGTGGATGTAGCTAATAAATCGGTCAGTGAGTGTACACATACACGTGTGGCTGGGTTCAAGCTTGCAGCAGCTGTGGTGCAATTGTCAAGTGTTGGTGCACTGGTAAACACAGCATTTCAGCTTTCAGCACCACTCTAACACACACACACACACAAACGCACGCATGCTCTTCACAAATAATTCATCCCTAGTCTCTCATAATGGCTTTCCTGCATGTTCATCATTCTCACGGGCTGCAGTCCACGCCTCCATTTCTGCAAACTGAAACCTGCACACACTCCTGTAAGCCAGCCAACAGCCATTATAATACTGGACTGCGGACTGTGATGATGCAATCTAGCCATGAATCAGCAAAAAATACACTGTCCACTGATTTGGACGTCTCAAAGTGATAACACAAGATAAGATTACTTTGGCAGTTATCATGTTCACAAGGTTATAAAAGATAAAAACTGTTCCTGTACATTAAAAAAACACATTATTGTACATTTGAGTATACACAAAGGTACATAGGTCATCTGTTATTTACTGTACACTAAGATGACCACAGCTATCAGAATTATAGCTCCGCCCATGAAGAGGGTTATTTATAATGTGGGGAAAATGATTAAACGTTGTGCTGTTCCTGGCTGTCAGTAAGCAAATGATCATTACTGCTTTGCAAGGATCCAAAAAGATGTAGAAAAATAAAAATCGGATACGTTTTAAACAGTGATGCTATGTAGATCATTAGGAATGTTGGTCTACTGCGAAACTCACCACACCTGCAAAAACAGTAAGTGTCATTGGGGGTTTTGTGTTTGGTTTTTCTTGCTATGCTTAAAAATGAACTTAATCCCTACCAGGCGGGAGCCGGAATTCAGCCTACCTTTCGTCTCATCTCCTCCACTCTTTCCTTCACTCTCTCCCTCCAGTCGACAAGTCTCTCACCCTGTCTCTTTTTTTCTCCAGGGTGGCCGGTTTAATTCCCTCTCTGGGTGAGAATGTCAGAGTTTGGAGAGTTTTTGGACGGTTCCCACAGAGCTCTCGGCCGTCACACACCTCTAATCTCCTGGAGAGAGAGAGAGAGAGAGAGAGAGGGAGAGAGAGAGAGAGAGTATAAGGACAAAACAGTACAGTTAATTACTTTCAGTAGAGGAACGCTGACCTTGCTTGCATAACCTCATTGTCCACTCACTGTGGCACTACCATAATGTGAGATAAATTGGAGAAAAGCTTGATAGATGCCTGATGGAAACACTTTTTCTGTGTAAAAACCTTCCGGTGTGCTGTTACTGGCCACTGCATTGCAGTGACTTTAAATGAATTGCTTGGTGAAATATCACATTCGCAGTTTTCCCTCCTTACCTCAAAAGTAGCAGATCAGGCAGGGCATGTTCTGGTGTCTGAAGTTTGCTTCTGTGGGTTTATAATGGAGCTACAAGGCTAATGCAGCTAACAAATAATGGAGGCTTAGGAATACCAATTAGCATAGTGCTAACTGCAGGCTTAAATCATCACACAATCATACTGAGTGTGTAAGTAATCTCTAATATTAGAACTAGGCCTTCAGTCTGTGATATAGATGTCATACTTTGAAAAACAAACCAACCCACCTCTACAATAATGCTAGTTTCTGTTAGCACCCTTGGGATTCTAGTAGCGCTAAGCTAATGGCAGTGCACATGACAGTTTTTTGACTGTTCTAGATTAATCATGGACATTTAGAGTTCGTAACAGACATTCCATGTTTTGTATGAAGCTAGTAACAGACATTTCTAAAGTCTGGCAGACATGCATTTGTTAGGCTGCCTCTGGTATTCACAGTTAGCCACGTATCTCAGACTTCCAGAAAGTCTCAAGTGATGTTTTTTTCTCAAGAAGTTGGTCCAAATCAAAAATGTGATTAATTTCATTGTCATTTTATTTTATGTTAGTGGGTAATCTGAAGTGTTAGGCCTTTACTTCAGCTCCTGAAGTCCTCACCAATGAGAAAGCTCGCTTGGCTGTATCTACCTGGATACCAAGGAAGGGGAAAAATCCTGATTGGGCAATTTTTTGTTGGTGAGGATTTCAGGGGCTGAACTGAAGGCATCACACTTTAGATTAACCCTTAGCATAATTACCAAGGGACAGTGGAAGTGTTAGGCCTTTAGTTCAGCTCCTGAAGTCCTCACTTCAGTCCTCCTCATGGAAGAGCTCACCTGGGTGTATCTACCTAGATACTAAGGAGGGAAAAAAATCTTGATTGGACAATTTTCCGTTTGGCGCTTCAAGAATTTAACCCTTTTGTTTCCAAACAAAACTTAATAAAACAGTACTGTAAAACTTGCAGAGTTAAATACAAGCCTGGTTCTATTGAATAAAAATGACTAAATAAATAGACATGTTCTTCCCTCTGTCAGAAACATAGGGGAACCATGAAGGCCCTCTTGGCCTTGAGAAGGCATTGAGGGTTCTCCTCTGTTTCTGACCCTTCAGAACTGATGTCCAAAGGAGTAAAAGCTGCCTGATTACACTCACTTCAGTAACTGGCCAAAAAACAATTACCCAACAAACGTATCAGATCAAGCTGAGCTTTTGGAGCGATAGCCGCAGCACATTAATAGCAGCTGGGATTAATTTCAGCAAATCTTTCTAGCACGTAATTAAAAGATTACAGAGCAAGGAACACTTTGAACGCGCTGATTTTAACACCTTAGTGGTCCCTGATTGTTTGAAACATGTCAGAGATGGTAGATGAAGGGTGGAGAGCGCAGTTTCAAATCAGTGAATCAACCTCAAACCTCAAATGAGCTGTTCTTAAATACTAATGTAGATGATTAAGACAGGCTTAGGGTTGTTGTCCGGGTTGCTAAGCTAACGATCTGAGCACTGCCAGCAGTTTGAATCATGCTGTGAAAGGAACAGTTCAAATCGTCATCTGTCTGTGAAGGGCGCTCATTTTAGAAAATTCTTCATTCTGTCTCTCGGACGACACATTGCCTGGAGCAGTGGGGTCAGTGGAGATGGCCCAAATGAGTTGGCACTGGGGCCTGTTTACAAACGTGAGATGATGAACACTGTAGGCTTTGAGCACATGCACTTATTATCTATGGGTATCCAAGGGTAGTTATGTGGTTTAAATTGAAATATATATGTCCACCATCCAAATAGTACCTGCTCTGTA